GGCAACAATCTATGAATGAAAATATTACTGGCTGCCAGCCCATAAACTTGGTTTTTCTGCGGTCTTACCTAAGTTCTACAAGTTGCCTCATTTTTAATTATGTATGTGCTGTAGCTAAATGAAAACATTAATTCTGAATTATGATTGCTGAATCATAAACGTAGAGAAGAAAACTTGATATAAAGAAACTGTAGTCTCCCCTACTCCCACACCGTCTTTTGCACCGAATGAAGTGTTACCTCAAGTTCAAACCTTAATGACCTTGCAGCTGATTCTGTTCCGCAGTTTGTGATCTCATCACTTCAAGCACATGCCTGTTCTTTAGTCCAAATTAAGCTCTAATGAACAGGAGAACACCTGCTTCTTAATGGCGGCGTTGGAGGGGTTTTGGCAGGTGAAGTGCTTTTGCACAATCTGTGAATGAAAATATTGCTTGGTTTCCCCAGCAGAACACGAGGTTTTCTGCTGTCATACCTAAGTTCTACAAGTGGCCTTATTTTTAATTAAGTATGGGCTAAACAAAAGCATTAATTCTGAAAATTAAAGCCGGTAACCTCAGACATTTTGGCATCCAATGTGGATGTAGCAAGATAAACACTGGTGTTCGTTTAGGTCTTCAAGCTAGTTTCGTGAGTCATGTGACTGTTCTGGGAAACCACTGACAGGAATTAGCTGCCAGTACAAAATGCAAATACAGTGGTACCTCACACTTAGGACTCACACTTCCAAGTCAGCTTGGAAGTCTGTTGGAAAACAAGAGAGAGAGAAATCTTCAAATGGCATCAATATAACATTAACCCCAAGGTCAGATGTGTCTCTGTGGGAGATATTTCCCTGACTGGTTGGCACGGGGCATTCTTGTCATGACAGCATAAGTCTTTCAGGTTTCTGGCAGCCTCCCCCTACCCCCCACCCCCGGCTGGCTATGCCTGGGTTAATGTACCCAGCTGACTCTGTGGCTGGATCTAGACCCATCGAAGAAGCGTTTCAGTTTAAAGCATTGTCAATTTAAACTGCAAAAACAGGTAAAGAAAAACAATGTTATATCGCACATACAACACATATCAATCACTTTTTCTTTCATATTCATTTTCTTTTCTTTTCTGATTTCACTTATGTCTTTTACACCTTTCAGTGGCTGGCATAGGCAACGTTGTGAGCACGATCCACCTACTTATATGATTCCTTTCAGAACACACAAAACTCATACAAAACGGTGACTTTTTAAATTTCAGCAGCTGTTTTAAATGACACCCCCTCCCAAATTTTATTTTCAACTTGATTTCATTTTGTATGTTGTATTGCTGCTGCACACAGCTAGGAACATGCTTTTAAGCAAATTAAGGTAAAGGTAAAGGTACCCCCGCCCGTACGGGCCAGTCGTGTCCGACTCTAGGGTTGTGCGCCCATCTCACTTAAGAGGCTGGGGGCCAGCGCTGTCCGGAGACACTTCCGGGTCACGTGGCCAGCGTGACAAAGCTGCTCTGGCGAGCCAGCCTCAGCGCAGCACACGGAAACGCCGTTTACCTTCCCGCTAGAAAGCGGTACCTATTTATCTACTTGCACTTAGGGGTGCTTTCGAACTGCTAGGTGGGCAGGAGCTGGGACCGAAAGACGGAAGCTCACCCCGCTGCGGGGATTCGAACCGCTGACCATGCAATCGGCAAGCCCTAGGCACTGAGGTTTTACCCACAGCACCACCCGCGTCCCTAAGCAAATTATACCTTATTAAAATAGCACGAACCAATACATTTGTTAATTTTTTTCTATCAGGCGTTCATCTGACTCAGTCAAGAGGCTAAGAAACATACATTGGACAGGCAGATCAATCTCTGTTCCTCATTTGAAGATGTACCTTTTTTCTCAAGCTGTCCCTGAGACCCTGTGGTAGCATCCTCAATACCTGTCCCAGGTGGGACATAACTGGCCAAGACTAAGATATGAAGCAAGGGCACCATTGGGTGATCTTTATTAATTCCTGCAGCAACTTCCAGACTCTCCCTATCCAAACCTCTGCACCAGGCTTCCTCAAACTCGGCCCTCCAGATGTTTTGAGACTACAATTCCCATCATCCCTAACCACTGGTCCTGCTAGCTAGGGACCATGGGAGTTGTAGGCCAAAAACTTCTAGAGGGGGCGAGGTTAGGAAGCCTGCGCTGCACAATTCTTTTATGCTTTTGGGGGGGTGTATTTCATCCATGCACACAAGTTTGTTTATCACGTCTTAATATTCATAAATTTAGCATTGCTATTTGTCAAGCAAGCTGATGGTTAGTTGCTGTGGTTAGGCTCCTGTGGATTTGTCAAGCAAGCCAACGATTTACTTTTCGTGGCTCAGATTCTGTAACATCTGATTTGCTCACCAGAAACCGCCTAATACTTACTTCTGCTTCTTGCTGGGTAGCTGTCCACGTGTCTTGTCAGTACTTTTGCTATAGTTTTAACCAGTGCTTTTTTTCTTTACAAAAAATGTTTAGGGGTACTCTCATTTTCCTACTCATATTGAAATACTGCCCCTCAATGAGGCCAAACTTCAATTCACAAAAAGTTTAGGGGTATGCATACCCCCGCGTATCCCCAGAAAAGAAGCAATGTTTTAACTCAGTTAAATTTCCACTATGCACAAGCAGCTATAACCAATATGGCTCCTGTCACAATCCTAAACTGTGGTATTTTGTACTGCTGTATTATAATCGTTCCCATTCTTTGATGTTGTTTTCAGTGGTTTATAGTCACAATTGTACGGTACATTTCACAATCATATGGTTGGTACAAGTTCTCTAGTATCTGGATGTAATAATACTCACCTATTTCTTTCTATCGATGTAGAGGGAGCAAGAAATAAAAATTAAGAATTAATTAGATTGGTTTGAATGGATTTTGAAAGATCCATCACTTCCCATGCCAAACTTTTTTGCTGCCATTTAGTGAGAGCTGTTTCAATTCTCTTTCCTCACTTTTCTACTTGAATTCTATTAAACAGAAGAAAGAAATTCAAAGTCTTGGAGGCCTGGGCAATTATTCTACAGGATGGAGTGATTTTTTCTTTCTATAGGGAAGGGACAGAATAAAATACTGAAAATGGAAAAATAGGTTTATTTATCACGGAGGGGGAAAGAAATTTGGCGTTTCACAGGCCTTGTTATATAAATGCTAGGAATCTGTTTTTTGTTGTTTAAGGAGAAAAAGAATGAAAACTGGCAATCTGGGGATTACTGCTAACTTGAGGCACAGAATTTTCCTTCCTCCCCACTTGGAAAGTATTTTTGAGGAAAAATTGTATTAATAAATTTGAAAAATGCTACTATTTTAGATATATCTGAAGAGGTGGATTCTAAGCAGTGAACTCTTATCCTAATATCCAGATGTTTTCTAACTGTGGTCCATTGGTGTGTCTGTGAATTCCACTGAATTATATACAATCCAAATTGTAATGCAATAAAATACAATATAAGAAACAAAACAAGCACTGAAATACAATTAAAAACAACAGAGCACTTGTTGCCATGTGTTACAAATACTACAACAGACAGGAAAAAAATTATTAAGTGGTCTGACAATATCCTCAGCAATTTTCAAGTAGCCATGGGAGAAATTTAAGAATGACCGCTATATTAAATTTGTGAACATATCAGGTGTGGCATGACCCCTTTGGCTTTTGCTGCTATAGAATATGCTGCAGGAAAGAGAAAGTAGGACATAGTTACACATAAAAAGAGGCGATATGAAAGTGAGAAGAGGCAAAGGGGGGATTAAATGAGCAAAATTCAAAATAATAAGCTCCTTTTGTTTTATTTCAAGGCAATGTGATAGAGCTATGTTTGGTTTTTTAAAATAATAATTCCAGTTGCGTAGCTTCCTGGCTAAGCTGGACTTTAGGTTCCCTGGGATCAGAAAGTGAAGGCAGCACTGGTCAGCTAACTTCCCATGTTTCCATGGCAGAAATTTCCAGCCTTGCTTAGCTGGCTTTGCATTTTCCTTTCTAGCACAGCTTACAACACTAGCAAGGAAGAATTGATATTTTGACATCATGGTGATGTCAGGTGATGGACACTTGTTAAAATGGCATACCAAGGGTGGGGGAAACCAAGGACCTGCCCCCACCAGCTGAACCCAGCTCCCCATCCTTGGCCTATGCCAGAGGTCGACAACCTAAGGCCCATGGGCGAGAGGAGGCCCATGAGGGTCGCTTAACCGGCCCATGAGCTGCCCCCGAACCCAGCCACCTGCTTGGCGAGTCCCCACGTGCTGCGCTAAACCAGCGCAGTGCAGGGACTCTCTTCCACGGCTCCAGAAATCGCTCCTACGCATGCCCAGATGCCAAAATCCTTCTGCGCAGGTGTGACTTTTGGCATCTGGGCATGCGCAGAAGAGATTTCCGGCATCGTGCTGCGCCTGCCCGTCCCACGGGGATCTCTGCGGGAGTGATCCTGCCCATGCCTAGTAAGCCTTGCCGACTCCTGGCCTATGCTATCAGTGAAGTCTTCTACAGATTAATAGAAAAGGTCTGGGCCTCATTTCTGCCTCAAATTCAGAGGACTGGCATCCCCATTTCCTGAAGGTTGCTATTGAGCTATCCTTGTTTGGCAGCAAGTTCATCTTTCAGTTGGTTGCCTTGTGGGCAATCAGTTGCATTTTCAGGTTTTTGTGTTGTTGTTGTTTTTGAAGTATTAATTGAGTTGTATCTTATGACTTTGCCCTTTTTGAGTGTGGAGTTCTCGGTAGTGACTAAGAAGGTGTTCCTAGTGATTACAGTTGCAACCCTGGCCCTTTTCCAGAATCATTGTGAAGGCTTTTCGTCAGCTTTGGCTTTCGAAAACACATTTCGGCATATCTGAGCTGCTTTGCAAAATTGCATTTAATTCTCCATTCATGACTGGCATGATCTGATACTGAGGAAGAGGAAGTTGACAGCTAGGGGCATGCTCTGGGCTGGCTGGAGGAAGTGGCTAGGATCATGCTGTTGTTGCTGGGGGCATTTTTCATTCATCCTAAAGGACCAGCCTTCAATGGTTTGTGCTGGCACTAGCAGGAACCAATCCAATTGGTGTTCTGAGGGTCACTAAAGTATTCCTATTGGACCTTGGCTGAAGTCCGATAGAAGACTGTCTTGCAACCTGGCCATGTGCTATTGGCCAGAAGCTGTGGCCGCTAGATTATAAAAGGCTGGACAAAGCATTGACAGGGTATCATCTGGAGCTGAGCAAAACAGAAGAGAGGCTAAGAGAGAAGACAGGAGGCTAAAGAGAAGAAATAGTAAGTTATTGGGTCTGGTGGTTGATGCCTAAGAGCATAACAGTTATTGAAAGGTCAGAGTAATGGTGGATTTATGACCATGTCATTACCGAGGAGGCAGGTTTAGTCATTGTTTGAAGACTATCCCTGCCTCCAGATTTGGTCTTGTCCGCAAGGATACTGGATTCAACAAGGGAGACTCACATGACTTTAAGGTGCTGCTGTGCAATGCCAGGTCAATGATTCACAAGACGGCTGTCATCCACGACTTGATTGTGGATGGAGGACTTGACCTGGCATGTGTAACAGAGACTTGGCTGGATGAAGCAGATGGGCCTGATATTGCCGCTGCTTGTCCACCAGGTTTCTCTTACACACAGCAACCCAGCTCATATGGGTGGGGAGGCGAGGTTGCAGTGAGTTTTAGGAAGTCATTAATTTGTACCAGGTGTCCTATTGGGAAGACCCAGTTCTCTGAGTGCATGTTCTGGAGGTTGGGCAGTAAGGGCAGTACAGGATTCCTTTTGGTGTACCGACCTCCCTGCTGCACCAAGGATTCCCTGCCCGAGCTGCTTCAGGTCGTGGCAGATGTTCTCCTGGAGACACCTAGTTTGGTTGTCCATGGGCATTTTAACATCCATGGTGACACGACCTTACAAGGGGCACTTGGGACTTCGTGGAAAGCATGGCCTCCATGGGGCTTTCCCTATGGCCCAACTCATAGTTGCAGTACTTGGCTGCCCCCCACCCTCTCATGGGCCTGGATGGGAGTAATAATCTACACTAAGGAAATTCAAAGCACATTACATTCCACACAAAGGAATCTTAGAAAAAGGGAAATGTCAGAGAACATTACGTGCCTGGGAAACATAAGCAGAATATAAAGCAAGCAGTTATTATTAGGGGAATATATATTTTTAAGAGGGGTGAACATACAACATTAAACCACAAGATGAGGGAGCTGTTGTGTGCACAAATTGCAACATGCAAAAGTGACTCCAATTTAGCTCTTACTAAATCCTACTAGAAAAGGGGGGGGGCTTAAGATGCATTTATGTAAAAGGCTATGCAAAAAGATTATAGCAACAATTGTTTAAATCTACTGATGCTGCAACACCAACCCAGCTACTTAAAGCTCATGGTGTTCCCAGGTGTACAGCACTTTAACCTAAAGGTTAAGAAATAAATCTTATACCCCGCTGTCTTGTTGAGCTACTGCTGGCGCTTGATGAAGACTTTCAGAAGGGTTTTAAGGGAGTTTATACAAAAGGGAGATTGATTGGTTGGTTGGTTGGTTGGTTGGTTGGTTGGTTGATTGGTTGATTTATACCCCCACCTTTCCACCAAGGGGCTCAAGGCAGCATCCATCCTCCTTCAGTCAGTCCTCTCATCAATCCTGTGAGGCAGGCTAGGGTAAGAGACTGAGACTGACCCAGGGTTTCCCAATGAGCTTCACGGCTGAGTGGGGATTTAAACCCTGGTCTCTCAATGCTAGTCTGGAGCTCAGATTCATACCAGTGAGTCATTTGCTCAGATCTCGCTTCAGCCAGAAACTTAACTGAGCTTGTACAAATATCCTATCTTCTTTGCCTCCTCTCCCTGACCCTCAACAATGGTCCAAGCTTCTTCTTTTATATTGGTTTTTTTTATTGGGTTTTACAAACAAGAATGACATACAAATAAGTATACCAAGTTTTCTCATGTCATTTGTATATCACAAAAATAGCATAATAATTGTTGAAAAATATCTACAACATGTGTTTCATTATTAGTGGTGAATGCATAAATTCTTGGTTTATGAATTGGTTTAAACAGTTAGGAAGAAGAAGAGGGGGAGGGGAAGACTGGGAGTGGCGAGTGGGTAGGGTGGGTGGTTATGCTTCATTATTCTACTTAGAGTGGTTTTAAAAAATATTTAAATTGTGTCTTAAACTTCTGCTATAAGATGCATAAGCTGCAATGTGACTGGTTTGTATCAATATTCACATGGTTATGTGATCATGACTAGATAACATCCACCACAACATTTGCGCATAAGAATTTGCAAGGATATACAGTACAGCATTCATTTGAACTCCAAGCTGTTTCACAAAGCACCCTCTGGTGGCAAACAGAAAGAAAGCATTTACACACCCACTTTACTTTCTCCCCAGGTATCTCTTTCAGGCAACGGTCACCCACGATGATGCCTTTCAAGGGATTTGGCCTTGTGCTCCTCACCTTTCTGGTGTCTGTTCTGGCACTGGGAGCCTATTGTGAAACCCCCTATGAGAAGTTCCTAAGGCAGCACTACGATAATCCCAAGAGCAATGTTGGAAAGCAGTATTGTGACGTCATGATGAAAAGACGCGGGCTGGACAAACCAGCATGCAAGGAAGTGAACACGTTCATCCACAACACCAAGAATAACATCAAATCTGTGTGCACTGATACTGGAGGGAAGGATTATGGAAACGGGCTGAGGATCGCTCTCCGCCCCTTCACTGTCACCACCTGCAAGCTCAAAGGCGGCTCAACTCGCCCACCTTGCAAGTACTCTGATAACAAGTCATCCAGATACATCGTCATTGCCTGTAATGAGAATAAAGAGCCTGTGCACTTCGACGAAAGCATCATTGTCACAGTGTAAGATTTCCAACGCCCAGATCCCAAATATTCAGCTTTTTAACAATTATGCCATCCCTTGCAACTCCACTGAAACCCCCCCCTTTGCTGCCATTCTGTCCAGCTCTGCTTTACTGCAATTAAAAAACAAACAAAGAAAACACCCTTAAACCATAGTGGCAAAGAAACCTGCTTTGATTCTGTTAAGCCAGCAATGTCTGTCACTATTAAACTGAGGAGAAAGTTGCATAGCATTTGATGTGTGTTTAATTTCATTTCTTTTTCTTTTTCTTATTGCATCCAAGGGAGGGAATGTGGAATGCAGTACTGCATTGTCTGAGATTTTCTTTCGTGTTTCCGTCCACATAGGTGGTAGGCTGCAACCAAATCAAATCAAATCTTTATTATGGTCATAGACCAGCATAAGGAGGGAAGGGTACAATCATTTAAAGTCTAAAAACGTTTTGGTTTTGGTTTGTTTTTTTTTAAAAAAAGCAGTTAAAACAGAAAGTATATATATATATATAAGTCTATCAGAATCCAAAAGAAACTAAGAGTCTAAAAGAGGAGTTAGGAACATTAGACAAGAATGAAAGAGCATAAAAGGTTAGTATATATAAGACTATAGCTGTCAGTCTACAGAGCACTCTAATATGAGTGCTCATTATATCTAGTTTGTGTCACAGGTCATCATTCGATGAATTTTGAGCGCTGCTGTGCAGAATCTGGAACGTATGTTGTAGCAGGATTGGTATCTGAAAGCAGCAGGGAGGTATAGAATTGTCCTGTGCACCCTGGGTATTTATGCAGTAATTGTAAGATGAGGGTAGTACAAATGTCTCTATAATAAAGACATTGGAGAAGCACATGCTCTGTTGTTTCTATTTGTCCAGAGTCACAGGCGCATTGTCTCTCCAGGTAAGCAATCTTCCTGTATTGGCCTTCAAGGACAGCTGAAGGGTGGGCATGACATCAAGCCAAGGTAAAGGCCCTCCAGCACTTAGGGACTTCGAGTTTAGCTAGACATACCATAGGGGAGGCAGAGTACCTGGACGATTCATTGGCAGTAAAAGTTGAGGCCCTGGCTAGATCCAATTGGTGTCTGCAACACATTTTATGAGAGCACGCAGGCCACAACCATTTCCTGCCAGGAATTATGGTGTGGTGGCATACAGTTATTCCAAGTGAATCATTGTTGGGGGGGACATAGTGTCTGCTGGGAGATGGATAGGAGGTTTTTTGATGCTCATGACTGAAGCAAAACCAGGTTTCAGCAAGAAAGGTATAGCAGTCAAATATTTGGGTGGGGAGCTGTCACCACTGCCTTTCTCCTTTTTTCCATTTCCCCATGCCCAAATGTCTAGATTTTCTCCTTCCATTTGACCCCCACCCATATGGTATTCACAATATAGAGCGCATATGGTTCAGCATTAATGTCTGGCAGCTTGGAATGCTTCCCCCAACACTTTCGCAACTCTGGTTCCCCACTCAGTTCTGTCCCAGTGTGCAGAGTTCATGTTTATGGACACAGCCAGTTGTCATCATGTGATCAGGCACCACAACCCCAGGGCTGCTTCTGAGCACATTCCACAGGATGCCTAATAAATAGTCATCTTGCCGTTTGTGGCTCTGTGGGTGCTTTGAGGCTGGGAGTAAATATAATGGACAATGTAAACTCCCTTCTTTGGAAGACAAATGTTCCCCTTGAAAGTGTCTGGGGATATTCAGACCCACATGGGAATCTAGCTTCCAAGTCAGCTTGGAAATCTGTTGGAAACCGAGAGAAAGATAAATCTTCAGGTGGTATTGTTAGCAATAGAGCATCAACCCAAAGGTCAGATGTGTCTCTGCAGGAGGCATCCCCCAGACCATTTTTTGAGACAGTGTTTTTGAAGTGGAAGAAGCGGGGAAGAGGAGATACTGAACTTTTACCCACCAGCTATTTTGCCCTCCTGGACCCCCTTCTAACAAGCCATTTCATTTCATTTATTGAATTTATATGCCGCCCTATGCCCAGAGGTCTCAGGGTGGTTCACAAAAAGGATTGCAATATATAAAATCAAAACAATAACGCCCCCACCCCAAAAGAACCACATTTTAAAGGGTATAGGGTGTTGATCAGGTCAGCCAAGGTAAAGGTAAAGGACCCCTGACAGTTAAGTCCAGTCACGAACGACTCTGGAATTGCGGTGCTCATCTTCCTGGACAAGGGAGCCGACGGTTGTCCGCAGACAGTTTTTTTGGGTCATGTGGCCAGTACTTATTTATCTACCTATTTATCTACTTATTTATCTACTTGCACTTTTTGGCATGCTTTTGAACTGCTAGGTTGGCAGGAGCTGGGACTGAGAAACGGGAGCTCACCCCATCGCGGGAATTCGGACCGCCGACCTTCCGATTGGCAAGCCCAAGAGGCTCAGTGGTTTAGACCACAGTGCCACCCGCGTCCCTCAGGTCAGCCAAAGGCCTGGTTAAAAAGGAATGTTTTTGTCTGGCGCCTAAAGGTGTATAATGAAGGCGCGAGGAGAACGTGCCTGGGGAGAGTGTTCCACAGATGGAGAGCCACTGCAGAGAAGGCCCGTTCTCATGTTGACACTCTCCTGACCTCTTGAGGAGGAGGCACACGAAGGAGGGCCTCAGGAGGTGATCTCAGGGTCCAGGTGGGTTGATATGGAAAGAGGAGGTCCTTCGGGTATTGCCTCATGGAGCACACACACACACCATTATAGAGGAATGAAAAATGTGTATGTGAATAACTTCAACTTTTACAGCAAGTTAATAAATTACTAAAGCTATAAGTAAGTTAATAATTCACAGCAGCATGTGAAAGTTACAGAGAAGGTTTGTTTTGAACAAAGAAAGGTCTCTCTCTCTCTCTCTCTCTCTCTCTCTCTCTCTCTCTCTTTCCTTCCCCAGAGAGTTGAAGATAATTTGCAAGGAGGACCAGTGACAGTGCACCATTGAGCAGAGTTCATTAGTGCACACAGTGCCAGATTTATGTATAAGCTAAACAAGCTATAGCTTAGGGCCCCACTCTTTTGGGGCCCCCCAAAAAATTAAAGGGGAAAAAACTGGATGTACATTTCCAAAATATAAGATAAAACCAAATAAAATAAAACCTACATACAGCAACAGTGTTTTGTGTTGTGTAGGCTCCTATTTGTTGTGTGCAAATGGCTTAAGATACCTACTAGGTCCATAAATTACCATATAGCATATATTCAACACAAAAAAACAGAAACAATTTGTTGTTGACAAAGGACAGCTGGACCTATAAGGGGCCCCATTACCTTCAGTAGCTTAGGGCCTCATCAAACCTAAATCCGGCCCTGAGTGCACATGCTCATATTGATGTCACTGGTCGCCCTTGCACATTCTTCACTTAAGATAACTTAAGTGCCCAACTAGATCAGGCCAAAGGAACAACGGAAGATGTTTTATACTGAGTCAGGTCACTGGCCCACCTAGCTCAGTCTACACTGACTGGCAGTGGCTCTGCTTTGCAAACAGAAAATCCTATGTTCAGTCCCTAAAATCTCAAGGTAGGACGGGGAATGTCCTATGCCTGAAATCCTGGAGAAACGATGGCCTCACTCAGTATAAGGCAGAGAATGCAAGACTATCAATAGCACAGGCCCATGCCACAAGATTCAGGTTTCAGCGAGGGAAGATGGACAAGATCTGTGACATTTCCCTTTCAGAGGGAGAGGAGGCTGATCTGAACTGCTCTTCTTTAGCTCCAAAGTGCAGTCGTCTTCTTCAGTCTAATTTTCTCAGCAGCAGTTATTTACTCCTCCCTGGGTCCTCCTTCACTTGGTTGATGTGTAACAGAAGAAAGTGGCTAGTGATGTTTTCCTTTCCAAATATTATCAGTTCCAGATGCTCTGCATCTTTTCTTTCCTTAGAAACATGAAACAAAAGTCTCTCCCCCTCCTGCCGCCCTTGATCAGCAGGGTGCGGTTTTCAGCCTTGTCCTGGCTTTGTCAACACTGAGGCCCTGACACCCTTTTCAAGGGCGAGATGATGATGTTGAATTTTTTTTTAAAAAAAAAAAATTTGAACCAGATCCATTTGTTAATAAGCAACGAGTGGTCTAGAACCAGCCAATTTGCCTCAAACAGCTTTGCAATGGAGCCTCCCACTTTTCCACACAGTCCAGAGGATTGCAAAATATGCCATTAAAAAAAAAAAAAAGGTTTTCTGGGAACTTGATCTGTTTCGCCATCTCGGTAAAACAAGATCTCGAGAAGGGAAAAACACAGCTCAGAAGGGGACCATTTTGCTCTGCAAGGCAGGTAGGATCTGCTGAAAAAAGTGAGGGGATTAGGGCCCAAGCATTCAAATGAGTTGCTATAATTAAATGTTCTGGAGTGTATGGGGTGTTAGGGGAGGGGGTAGTATCTGTGGTGAGGGACGTGTCATGCTCCTTCTTCTCCCCTTGCCTTTGGTCCCCACCCTGCACTCAGCTCTCACCTGTGGCTCACCTGTCAGCATGTGACAGCAGCCACACCCCAGAACACTTTTGACTGGCAAGCTAAACCAGGTGAGGGCAGCCGATGGCCCTCAAACCCTCAGTGAGTTAGGGACTTCCGCTGCATGTGAACAGTGCCAGATTTACATATACGCTAAACAAGCTATAGCTTACAGCCCCACTCTCTTGGGGGCCCCCAAAAAAATTAAAGGAAAAAAACAACTGGATGTACATTTCCAAAATATAAGATAAAAAACAAATAAAATAAAACCCACATACAGCGACAGTGTTTTGTGTTGTGTAGGCTCCTATGATGTAAGTCATGGGCCCCGCCTGCTAGCCTGCTCCCTAAAATATCACTGGTTTGCTCATTTCTATATATAGGGTGCCTACATTCTGCATGAAGACGCGGGTGGTGCTGTGGTCTAAACCACTGAGCCTCTTGGGCCAATCAGAAGTATAAAAAATAATCATTATTTTCCATCTTACTGTAGGTTTTGTTTCATTTAAAAAAATAAAATTTTATTTTATGGTTTATTGTTGTTTATATTTTGAATGACATGTATATGGGGACAGTTAGGGAGGTGAGGGCTGTCTGTGCACTGAGCGTGAGTTCCCATTTGCTCTGCTGCACCAGCCTCCACTGGTGTTTATCACTGATCAATCGATCTCTCAATCTATGCTATGGCCCCTGCTTCTCTACCTGGAGCTATGACAGGAGATGAGGAAAAACCCCAACTATCTAAACTATGTGTTCAACACAGATGAAAAAGCTTGTGACCTCATAAACAGCTTTCTAGATTGTACTCATTTGTTATCCTGGCAGAAGACTAAAGCAGAAGACTAAAGAATCAACTCAACCTCCCTGCTTTTTAACATGTTCTACACTGAGCTTTTTGCAATCGGCTTTGGTGAGCTGAGCCATCCTTTCTGTGACACTTCCTCCTTCCTGCAAAGAGCTTTCAGCTCCTTCTCTTCCCAGATATTGGTGGCTCTTACATGCTGCTCAAGCGACCTTTCGCTTTCTTTGTAGAAGCCGCATTTTGTTAACATTCCATGAGCACCTCTTTCCCACTCAGAGGTTAGAACACTCAGGAATGACATCACAGAAGGCCAGCCAATGCCTGCGGAGGATCTGTGTTGATATTCAAGCTAGCCAATCAAAGCAGTGGCCGCTCTACAGCTTTTACTGTACAGTGGTACCTCAGGTTAAGAACTTAATTCGTTCTGGAGGTCTGTTTTTAACCTGAAACTGTTCTTAACCTAAGGTACCACTTTAGCTAATGGGGCCTCCCGCTGCCGCCGCGCCACTGCTGCACAATTTCTGTTCTCATCCTGAAGCAAAGTTCTTAACCTGAGGTATTATTTCTGGGTTAGCGGAGTCTGTAACCTGAAGTGTCTGTAACCTGAAGTACCACTGTATATAGTTACACAAAATCATTTAGTTTTGTGTGCAAATTGCCTTACAATTTTTTTAAAGAAATAAATAATAATTCCCTTCTCCATTCCTAAGTGCAGCGGACACCATGGCTCAGACGACTGCCTGCTGGCTGCTGCTATTCCTGATGGTCCTGCCAGCGCTTACCCAGAGGGAATCCCGTTATGAGAAATTCCGCCGGCAGCACATCGACTTCCCAAAGACCAGAAGCGACTTGGATGCCCGGCGCTATTGCAACCTCATGATGCAGAGAAGGGGGATGACCGACAGTGTTTGCAAACCTTCCAACACCTTCATCCATGGGGACCCCATGGCCGTGGATGCCACCTGCAGTGACGGGGGGACCTATGCCAGCGAGAATTACTATGACAGCAACACACCCTTTGACCTCACAGCTTGCCGCATTCTTGGGGGAGGCTCCCAAAGACCCCCCTGTAACTACAGAGGCAGGTCCACCTCCCAGCGCATTCGGGTGGGCTGCACTAACGGGGTGCCAGTTCACTTCAAAATGCCTCTTTAGATGTCTCTGTTTACTTGTATTGAATCACAATGCTTTAAATCCCTTTTTAGAATCGGGTAGAATTTTTAAAAAATCTATTTCTGTTTGTGTATCTCAACTGCAATTTGCCTTTTCAAATGCTGCCGTTTGCTTTCTCTGAGGCGCAGTCCCTCCAGTCTTTCCCTCCTGCTTTTGTATTTTAATAAAATGCATGCCATCTAGTGGTCATAAAGCAATATGAATGCATTTTCCTATCCTTGCGTTTTAACACCCGCTAAAGATTAAGGCTGAGATCTGAGAACACCTGTGACTGAATGGTCTTCTCTTGCAGTTTCATGCAATACAATATTCCTTTACATATGTAGAACTGTGTTGTTATTTACAATAAAAGACGGCAGTGAAGTGGCAGCCAGCTAAACATGCCCTACTCCCGGACACTCCATTCCACCCCTCTTTGAACTTTTTAAAGGTCCTCAAAACTTAAGGTCTCCCCGCTTGGGTACCTTAGTAAACTTTGGGGTTTCCCAGGACCTCTCCTTTTGTGTGTGGATAGTGTTTGTTTGACTATGGAGTTTAAATGTGTTTGTTATATATACCAGTAGAATCATAAAGGGCATTGCTCAGGAATACAAACAAACAAATCCAGTCTTGAAAAGCTTCAGTCTACCATTTTGTTGCATGATGATGTAGTATGATTGTATCCAAACAAAGAGCCGAATTTCTCCCGCATCTCTTCCAGGGACGTCAGGTGTTGATTCTGGTTCCTGGGGAGTAGTCAATTTGGAGAACCAGTTATAGCTCATTGTTAAGAGCACAATAATGTCCCCAGTTCAGTCCCTGGCATCTACAGATTTTGCTTTGTTTTTAAAGTTATCAGGTAGTTTGAATGGCCTCTGCCTAAGACCTTAAGGAAGTCAGAGAATGCAATATTGAACTAAGTAGGTGACCTGCTAGAAGGCAACATGTTCCATTCTAACAGGCTCAAAAGCAGCAACTTAGAATTCAGTATTGAAAGTTGTTAAAACAAATTATAGTAACATGAATAGGATGAGCCATGAATGCACAGGAACCTATGAAAACATGGGTTCTGGTGGCTGATTTTTTGTGATGTTATCTAGTCTGCACCACACAAATTTTCTTTTAGCAGTTTATTACCAGTATCAAAATGGGACGCGGGTGGCGCTGTGGGTTAAACCACAGAGCCTAGGATTTGCCGATCAGAAGGTCGGCGGTTCGAATCTCCGTGATAGGGTGAGCTCCTGTTGCTCGGTCCCTGCTCCTGTCAACCTAGCAGTTCAAAAGCACATCAAAGTGCACGTAGATAAACAGGTACCACTCCGGCGGGAAGGTAAACGGCGTTTCCGTGCACTGCTCTGGTTCGCCAGAAGCGGCTTAGTCATGCTGGCCACATGACCCGGAAGCTGTACGCCGGCTTCCTCGGCCAATAAAGCGAGATGAGCGCCACAACCCCAGAGTCGGTCACGACTGGACCTAATGGTCAGGGGTCCCTTTACCTTTACCTACCAGTATCAAGATGTGTGGTTTCACCCACTTTTAAGTGGCTCTCAGTGATGGCAACAGCAAACCTGTTCAATGACGCCATTACTCTGAACAAGCTAAATTGGCTTGTGAAAGTCACCTTTTGTAATCTCAAGTGTTTGCACACTTTCCCCCAGAAGAGAGGCCTCCATTTGACAACAGAAGTTGGTAGGGGTGTTTGGAAACAGGCCAACGACCAAATGATTGATATGTTTCTAGACGTTTTTCAAAAGGGAGGTAGGAAGTTGCAAGGCAGCAGTTGGCATGCCTCATGAGGCAACGTATCTGCCAAGATTGAACAGTCTTGTTTGTTCCTCTAAAGAAAACAGAAATGACAAAATCAACCAAACGCTGAAAACATAACTGAATCAGAGCCCCAAATGAGTACAGGGAAGAAAAACACCAAAGTAGTTAAAATGAACGTAAGGAACGTAATGTAATAATAGCCCTGCTGGACCAAACTGAGTATTGCAGGGAGATTAAAAAGCACTAATTGCCCATTTGTTTCTTTGAAGTGACTCCTGGAAATGGGGCAGCCCCTCCTAGTGAGGCAGGCCAGCTACAACCTGTTTCGCCTGGAAAAAATCTTAGGCAGTGAAAAGGCTTTTGGCTTTCTCTAGATGGGTTTGCCCCAGCCATCACCTTTGGGATAAGAAATGGGAGACTGGGTAAGAGATAAGCAAGAGAGTGGCTCCAAAAGGCTGGTGAACAATAGCTTATGATAAATTCAGAAAATCCTCCTGCCTACAATGGATTGTTCCTGTTTGCTACTCCTTTATTAGTGGCCAAATATTGACCGACTCAGGAGACAATGGTGTTCCCATCTCAAGACAAGGCCTAGGATCAGAGCTAAGAATGTCCAGAATGTTGCTGAAGAAATCTAGCGTTTACACTTCAGAGTTCAACAGAAGTGCAACCCTCTGTGAAACTGGACTGTCCTTTGTGTTTCATGGAGTTCTGTTGCTCGAATAATTATACAGTTGGAGTGTAGAGAATAGGGAGTCATAGAGCTGGACGCAGCTGTTGTGCCTCGTAAGAAGGGAACGTCTATCAAAAATCAGTGAGGACAATATTGAGGTACAGTCGTAGCTTGGTTCTCGAATGGAATCTGTTCCGGAAGTCCGTTCGACTTCTGAAAACATTCAAAAACCAGTCAATCAGAAGCCACGGAAGCCGTGTTGGATGTTCAGCTTCCGAAAAACGTTCGCAAACCGGAACACTCACTTCCGGGCAGAGCCGTAGCTAGGTGATCGTGTGCCCCTAGCAGAACTGTCCAGATTGCACCCCCAGCCACTGACAAATTAGCTCTTCTTTCCGCCTCTCCTCCAACCCTACCCCCATTCAATTCACCCTCTATTTAAAACCTTTTCTTAAGAGGCAATAATCAATATTTTTATTTCTAGACATATTTATGGACATATTTTTAGCCAATTTTGCACGCACCCCCCTCGCCTGCACCCCTGGCACGGGCCCTCCTCACCACTCCCTAGCTACAGCCCTGCTTCTGAGTTCGGGAGCCAAAACGTTCGAGTTGCAAGGCGTTTGAGAACCAAGGTACAACGGTACTTCTTTTTGCCACTGCAGGAGAAAAAAAGCATTGGTGTATGTTTGCTCCATGCTACTAACAGGTTTCTTCATTTCCACCAACCTCATCCTACTTAGCTTCCTCCCTTGCAAGATGAAGAAATACAGAGGTGTCTTAGTTTCTGGGATGTCTGTTCACAATGCACATGATCGCTTTAATCTTGGAGGTGTGTCTTGTACAGCTCCATGGAAGGTTTTTTCTCTGTTTCTCTACATATATATACACACTTTATAAATGTGATAATATTGGAAAGAGGGCCCCAGTTAAAATCACCCTTGACTCTCTTGCAGCTTGGCACAAATTCATTTATAAGCCCTGAAATCTTTTATTCCTCAAGTGGCGTTTCTCAAGACCTGTTGACAGTAAACACAGTTTCAGAGCTACAAATGGTTCGTCGTAAGAATTAATATGCATGTTTGATGAGTGAGTGTTTCACTGCATGCATATGTAACCTGTGAACTGCAGGGTGAAGCCAGGGTGAACTGCAGTTTCTCAATCTGGATACGTATGCATAGTAAAATGCATGCATTGCATCCAGCAGCATGCAGTGGATGACTTGCCGGGTCCAACATGAAAGTGCTGTCTGCTTTGTAAAACTCACAGAGTCCAGTATGTACAAAATGCAAATCCTATTTTGTCAGTCCCGTAGCACATTCGTATTCTAATTTCTTCATCTTCTCTTGTCTTTTTCTATCCGATGTATTCCTTAGAAGAGTACAACATTAAATCATTTGAACACTGGCACTGGTAGATGCTGGCACAGGCAAACAAGACGAGGGTTCCTAGATATTCTCCTGTTTCGCCCCAAGGGGCTTCAACAGCTGTGCGTGGTTCTAAATCATATAAACATAGACACTTTGTAATATATCAGCTGTACACATTACAAAGAAACATACAAGCATATAATAAGTGTACATACCGTTACTGTATATAACAGCTACATGGAACTTATTCATGATAGATTTTCAGTCATGGTAAACCTGTAAGCCTGAGTACTCTTCCTTTAAGAGTGAATTAATACGAATTATCTGCACCTGTTGCCTTAGCTAGTGTTGCCCCCTTATACAGTACTCAGGCTTACAGGTTTACCATGACTGAAAATCTATCACGAATGAGTTCCATGTTATGTACATTTATTATATCTTTGTATGTTTCTTTGGAATTTGTACAGCTGATATATTAGAAATTAGAATATGAATGGACTACAGGACTGACAAAATAGGAATGGCATTTTGTACATCCTGGACTCGATGGTCAACTGAATAAGCTACATTTTAATATGTTATGTCACGATGTTCATTTTGACATTATGAGAGGCTGTATCTAATTTTGAGAAGTAGTTTCTAGCAAATAACTTTATTTAAAATTTAAAGATTTAAAATTTACGGCTTGTAGTGCTTTAAAAGAAAACTATATGAAAAGGATGTATTGATGGTATTTATCTCCAGTAAAGTTAGCTAAAATGTATAAGAGTGTTTATTGTGCGGGAGGAAGGGAAAGGAGGTCGTGAGCCGCTTTGAGACTCCTTAGGGTAGTGATAAAGCAAGATATCAAATCCAAAATCCAAAAATCCAAATCCATAAGAATTTATCTAATGTGTGCTGGAAGTGTAAAGATAAAATAGGTACATTTTATCATATGTGGTGTTCATGTAAAAAAGCAGTAGGCTTCTGGGAAATGATTTATAAAAACTGAAAAAAAAAGGTTTAAGATAACTTTTGTTAAAAAAAAAACCAGAGGCATTTTTATTGGGAATAACAAGTGAAGACTTACCAATAAATGTTAAAAGATTATTTATGTATGCAACCACAGCAGCAAGGATGCTATTTGCCCAAAGATGGAAGGAAGATAAAGTTCCAGTGATGGAAGAATGGATAACAAAGAGGACAGACTATGCTGAAATGGAAAAGATGACCGGGAAGATCGGCGAGCAAGATGAAGAAAAGTTTGTACAAGACTGGAAAAAAATTATAGAATACCTTAAAGTTCACTGTGAAGAGTTAAAAATTTTAGGAGGATTGATACAGCATCTATGAAGTACCGTGTACAGTAGAACCTCAGCTTATGTTACCCTCAGGTAACGTAAACTTCGGGTTGCGAAAGCAGCAAACCGGCTTCCGGGTTTTGCTGCTTGCGCAGGAGCAGAAGCTATCTCTGTGCCGCAGCCATGTGTATGCGCAGAAGTGGCACCTCCAGTTGCAAAACCTCAGGATCCGGCCAGAGCTCTGTAACGGATCCTGTTTGGACCAGAGGTACCACTGTATTAAGGTGATTAATGGATTTGAGATTGAATGGAAAACAAAACAAAGGGGAGACATTGGCAACTGGGAGGGGGGGAGTCAAGAAGTGGTAAATAATTAATTAGCTTTAATTTGTGTTATGCTGAAAATTTCGAATAGGTTTTTTTTTATAAAAAAGACAGTTCTAGCATCCACCCAAACAGGGAATAATTAGGGGGTAAGCAAATCTGTCAGTTTCATTTTCTCTCCAGTTCTCATTTTTAAATCCAATCTTAAATTCACCTCCACAGCAGTTTCATTTTTTAAAAAGTCTCCATGAAAATTCATCAGCATTTTGTGTGAATTTCTCCTAATACATACATGTTTTATGCCATTTTGCCCAACGCATACTTTTTTTTGCAAAGCAATTTGCCCTTCTTTAATGCCAGTTTAATGTGATTCTCAATCATATGTGCATTTATTTATTTATTTTAATTTTTTTACATATGCATTTATAAGCACATTTTACTCCAGCACATGCATTCTTGCACACATTGCCTGGCAGCAGAACTGCACTGAAAAATTCACCAAAGTGCGAATTTTACGGTTGGCCATTTTTCAATAGGCAGAATGTTCCAGAAAGTGTGAATTAAGTATGTTGACCATTAAGTGTGAATTGAATCAAATTTCTTCCCCATTCCCAGTAACAGTATTGTTTAAATCAATCAAGAAGTGATGATGATGATGATTTGCAGGATTCACACACCCAGGAGAAATATTCAGAAGGATTCAGGAAGTAGTGTTATCTTTACTGGTTAACAGAGAGACTTCAAACCACGATGAGGTCAACTGTGTCTTGATCCTCAGTGCATTTGTTCTTCTTAATCCCTACCCTCCATCTCAGTGATCCACACATTGTCTGCCTGTTCAATCCAGCTGCATGTGATCAGTACTAACCTTTTACCAGCAGCTGGCTAGGCTGGGTATAAAGAGCCCAAGGGGAAATGTTCGGTTCTACAGGAAACCGAATTCACCGCTCTGACAGACCCCCGGGTGATTTGGAGGCATTTCTGAGTAGTGCTGGCTGAGAAGATCGCGTAAGTTGGTGCAGAAATCGTTCTGGGTGATAAAATTGTGGTCCTTAGCTTGTGTCAGGGAGTGAGGCTGAGTTTGTCGCCAAAGGAAACATTGGTTGCAACCCAGCTAGACTTACACCGTGTAGGCTAGGGGTGGGGAAGCTGCCAACCTATGGATACTATTGGACTTCAAACCCCATCAGTGCCAGCCAGCATGCCGAGTGGTCAGGGATGATGGGATTTGTAGTCCACAACATCTGAAGGGCCACAGGCTCGCTCTTCTTGCTGCGAAGGGAGAATGGAGGGGCCCTTGCTGTGACAATTTACAGGTCAAACTACGTGAGGCGGCGTCAGCCCTGTTTGTTTCCTCGTGCGCATTTGTGACGCAGAAGATGGAGAGCAGAGATTTTGTGTTTGGCATAAAAATAAACACGAACGTTTGCAGGGACCCTTCCCAGCACCACCTCCCTATGGGCCAGTGCCTGCTTTCTCCCCCATCCTAGCTCCAGTATCAACTAGGCTATAAAGAAGGGGAGAATGGGGAGGCTCAGTTCCCTTCAGCTGCATGTGTGTTATTTGCCCTTAAAAGCACTTTTTTATATATACATTTTAATTATTTTTTTAACATATCGTTTCCAACAATCATTTAACATAAAGTCTTATGCAATATTTTAGACTTCCATCAACTACCTCTGAAGATTTTCCATTCTTTATCACTTAATCTGCATTTCTTAATTTCTCTATTACTTTTGATTGTCCTTAACTGATAAATCTCTTCATAGTCTTCCTTGCAATATTTCGCATAGTCCTCCTTACAAAACTTCTTGCAGTCCTACTGGCGTAATCTGTTTATTACCATTGCTTTTCAAATAGTTCAAATATTTACTCCAGTCCTCTAAGAATCTCTGGTGCCGCAGGTTTCGAATCCTTCCTGTCAGTTTGTCTAATTCTGCATAGTCCATTAATTTCATCTGCCATTCTTCTTTCGTCGGTAATCCTTTCCATTTCTGTGCCAATAATATTCTTGCTGCGGTTGTGGCATACAAAAACAATTCACAATCCTGTATATTAATATAAAAGCACCTTTCTCAGCTTTGTAAATGTGAAGAATATTCACTGACTGGAAGCAGAGATCATCCTTTCCTATCACTGAACACCCGTTATGCTGGCTGGGGCTTATGGTAGCTGGCGCTGAAAAGCTTCTAGAGGGGGGCACAGGATACCCAGACTCTGTGCTCCCCCCAAACTAAAAAAAAAAAAGATTCTAACAGTATGTGCTTTGCAGTCATGACACACAAGAAGGTCTGAAGTGTGTGACTGTGTGTTGTGTGTGAGAGAGAGAGAATAAGGCACCCCGCTGCATGTATTCACGACTGTCCCTCAGAGGAAAGGGGGGTCTCATGTGGCACTGATTCCCTTCCACACAGCAGAATCACCCAGAAAGTAAACCTCTATTGCTGAGCCTCTGACTAACTGAGCAAAAGGGTAAGGAATGTGTGAGACCCCTGAGGCACTAGTTCCTTGTTACAATGGTAACAATACCTGAGTTTTGCGGGGGGGGTGGTTTTTTACTTGTTTGAAAGAAGTTATTTCCCCTTCCACATTTAGTGCTTCTTCTGTTACAAAATGGTAAATAAATAAATAATGGTAAACCCTTTTGGTCTCCAGGACTGTTCCTTTCTTTCTTTCTTTCTTTCTTTCTTTCTTAAAATTACCTGTTATGTCCCAGAGCTGAGTCTTGCCAATGAAACCCACCTGTGGGTTTGTTCTAGTCCATGCAGAGCAAGAATTTGTGTGTGTGTGCGTGTGTGTGTGTGTGTGTGAGAGAGAGAGAGAGAGAGAGAGAGAATAAGAAATTGCTAAAAGAGCACCTTTAAGATGATCACTTGGTGTAATGTTGAAAACACAGTCCTTGTGCCTTTCAAAAAGTGGGAATTCCGGCGTGTTTGACTTTGCTTTTCCCTGCCACCAAGCTATGCCTGATACACACCCTGCTTTGATAGAGAACCCTTAAAACATATGAGAGACTTTGCCCTCTTTTGCATATGGGTGCACTAAAAACATTCCTGAACAGAAATTGAAGGCTATCGCAATCTCTCTCACACACAGTTTCTGCTTCATGACAGGCTAGCTATTGTTCTCTGTTGCCATCTAGTGTCAACTGCACCGACCTAGCCTACTTTTGCGGTGGGTGTCTTGAGACTGGGGCAAAGCAGCTCTCTCACATTGGTACTGTACAGCTAGATGCGACCATTTGACTTAAACCCCACACAGCAGCTGCCAGTCAGTGTGGACAGCGTTTAGCTAGATGGACCAATGGTCTGTGTTTGATGGTAAACAACACTTCTTATGGTATTGTTCAGTGCTTTTTTTCTTAAAAAAATGTTTAGGGGGTACTCTCATTTTGACTCAAGAAAATCACCATTTTACAGTTCAGATCAGGAAAGATGAATACAGTAAATGGACAAAAGTACAAAGATTCACAAAATGTTTAGGGGTATGCATATCCCTGTGTCCCCATCCCCCCCCCCGAATAAAACCACTTGTATTGTTCACTGCAAAAATCAAGTAAAAAAAGTTTTAAAAAACTCCATGTGGTGTTTCGATTTTTCAATTTTTTTCTGTTTTGTTTTCCTGTCAATCATGCTTCTTTAAATACTATTTTTTTTTATCTTGACCTTCATTTGCAATGCTTATTTGTTTTACGATACACTGCAACACATTTTTTTAAAACATACAGTGGTACCTCGGGTTACATACGCTTCAGGTTACATACGCTTCAGGTTACAGACTCCGCTAACCCAGAAATAGTGCTTCAGGTTAAGAACTTTGCTTCAGGATAAGAACAGAAATCGTGCTCCACCAGCGCGGCGGCAGCGGGAGGCCCCATTAGCTATAAAATGGTGCTTCAGGTTAAGAACAGTTTCAGGTTAAGAACGGACCTCCGGAACGAATTAAGTACTTAACCCGAGGTACCACTGTAAAGTGATGCGAAATAACCATTTCACTTGCTTCCTTTCGATGGCTGCAGGTTCGTCGGAAATCAGCAGCAACAATGATCTCCCTGAGAGGAAACGAAGCGCTATTGCTGCTCCTGTTGGCTTCCTGCCTGATCGTAAGCCGCGTCTCCTCGCAGAATCCTCGGCACGAGAAGTTCCTGAGGCAGCACAGCGACTTCCCCCGGACCAATGTGGCCGGGCAGGATTACTGTGGGGCCATGATGCTGCGCCGGGGGATGACAAGGCCTTGCAAAGACACCAACAGCTTTGTCCATGCACCCAGGAGCGACATAAAGGACATCTGCAACAGAGGGGGAACCCATTACCGCCGGGCCCTGAGGCTCAGCAGGGCACAGTTATCCGTCACCACCTGCAAGCTGCAGGGAACTTCGCGGGGCCAGTGCCGCTACTGGGCCCACACGGGACAAAGGCATATTCTCATAGGTTGCGATGCATCAGGGTGGCCTGTCCATTTTGAAGAAAGCAATTTCATGTAGGGCAGGCTTGGCTTTTTCCACTTGCAGCAAGAGCACTAAACAGCTGTAAAAATCTTTGAAAGCTGGTGTTCCACGGAGCTCACTCACAACAGAATTGTCACTTGAATCTCACTTACCCAAAGTTAACGTATGTATAGTGTGGTAAGAATTCGCCTATTATTTCTTGGGAAATACTTGTGTACAGCTGGAAACGTTGGCAGCATTAAGATGAATTTAACAGTGTAAATAAGTTTTGATTGATGCAGTGTTTTTTCTGGGGTACGCATACCCCTAAACATTTTTTGAATCTAAGTTTGGCCTCATTGAGGGGCAGTATTTCAATATGAATAGGAAAATGAGAGTACCCCTAAACATTTTTTTTTTTTTTAGAAAAAAAGCACCAGATGGATGTAATAATGGAATGCTGAATGGTTTAGTTTTTGTAAAATATGCAGGGATTTATGATATGTAAAATGAACCATAGAAAGAGAAGAAGGGAAGTCATTGATATTTTAAGGATGTAAAAATGAGTATATTCAACTGTAAAACAGAAAATTTAATAAAAATTATAAAGAGAAAAAAAAGAAATTACCTATTATTTCTTTACAAGGCTCATCAATGTAATGAAACATAACATTGTCCTTGCCTTGGATTAATGCAGGGCTGCTCACTATATAACCCATTAAGCTAGAGGTTCTATTTGGCCACTTGCCTGGGACATTAAAATTCAGATTAAGACGTTGTCAGATACCTGTCAGGCCACATAATACAGGGGTGGGGAACCTGTGGCCCTCCAGATATTGCTGGACTCCATTATCGGATCCAAAACTGTGGGACTGGATCATCCAGAGATTTCATGCCACATCGAACAATGTGTTTTCCAAATTCACCTGATATACATGGATGGGCAAAAGAGAGCAGCTGTTTTCCTACCCTGTCTCTGATACTACTGGCAGGTGTCCATGCTGAGGTTCATTTGCATATGCTGTAAACCCACAAGATCCAAGACACATAGGGTTAATCCGCATGGTTGGTTACCCGATTCTATCCAGAGTCGTCTCTCCTCCGCACGTGGGACATATTGAAGATAGGTATCAGTCTAATTTGGCCCATTTTACTTCTCTTTCTCCAGCCATTAGTACAGTGGAATCTTGGTTCTTGAACTTAATCCCTTCTGGAAGTCCGTTCAACTCCCAAAACGTTGGAAAACCAAGGTGCAGCTTCCGATTGGTGCAGAAACAATAGCCGACAGCCACATCGGACGTTCAGCTTCTGAAAAACGTTTGAAAACAGGAACACTTACTTCTGGGTTTTCGGCGTTCGGGAGCCAATTTGTTTGTCAACTAAGCCATTCGAGAAGAAGGTTCCATTGTATAAGAAAAAACCTGTCCTATTCTACATACATCTTTCCCTCCCATTGACCCCCATCATTACAAAAAATAAAGCTGGATTTCCCACTGCTTTACACAGAGAGAGAGAGAGAGAGAAAGAGAGAGAGAGAGAGAGAGAGAGAGAGAGAAAGAGAAAGAGAGAGAGATACTGTATTAGACAATTATAGGTTTAGTGGCATCAGGTCAGGGGTCACCAAGGTATCCACAGATGTCTTTCCAGATGCCTTCAAGTTCCCCCACTCCACCCACTGAAATGAGGCTAGCAAGAAACATTCTTCTGTAGTCACTATAATAGGCTGCAGCTTTTGCTTGGTTGCAGTGCATTTGTGGTGCCCACAATACACACATTTGCAAATGTGACCTTGAGGCCCAAAAGGTGGACAGCCTCCGCATTAGGCTGCCTGTCCAACAGCTGAGGAAACTATTAAAGAGTTGTCATTTGGGATTCAACGGTTTCTGATTAGAGTGAAAATGAAATGTAAGCCTGCATTTGAAAGTTGGCAACATTTTTGAACATTTGCATTTCAATATGTTTTCCTGTGATTTTTTTTTCTTGGATGATAATATAACATATTGTGTATGACGATAATCTTAGACTCGTTCAACATTTGAACGAGGGATGCTATAGGAATACAGGTTCAATACAGATTTGTGGATACGGATGCACTCAAGCTTTGTCCTGTGTCAGACCACCATGTACACCCAAGCGCTCACTTGTTTCTGTTACTCTAATATAGTTGTTTTTTTTTAAGTCCAGGAATTATTATTAAAAGTAAAATGAAATACATAATGCAATATAGGCACAAATCTACAACTTACGCACATGCTGCTCTTTATTCACATAAATGACCGTGGGCGTAATGTGTGGAACTTCATGGTTTATGTGACCACCTAAGTTTGGTCCTTTTCCAATGTAATTAGCCCATTGCTGTTCCACCCTGTTTTTTTTCCACAGGCAGCATAATCTATTGGCCAATGTGCATTCAGTACATATAATTTCAAAGGTGCAAAAGAAACTGAGCTCTGATGGATCTCAGCTTTTTGGGAGGAGAGATTTCTGCTATAGAGATTTGTTATATACATCTGTGCTTAATGTAGTATGTATTCCCAGAGGTGTCTAAAATAAATATATTGACTGGGGTCTTTTCTTTGTTTTATTTCATCATTCTACAATGCATCGTGCATGTATCTAACATTTCCCTAATTTTCATCCTCCTCCAGTAATAACTTGAAAACTATAAGGCACAGGAAATTTTTATTCACATCAGTGGCTCTGAAATGTGAAATAATCCAGTACAGCCATTTTAATCAAAGTCTGAGGTGTAGCAGCTAATTAAAGGGGGGAAAAATGTGGTGAACTGTCGTGGAACAAGCTCACTGAATAAGAGAACAGTGATTATCCAGAGCGGCTTGCTACTTGCGAATGGGTCTCCATAACAGTTCAAGCTTCAGAGACCCAAAAATGCATTATTATTTTTCACTCTCTTAACTTGCGAAAAGAAATAATAATAATATGCCCGCTCACGCAGCCAGCCTCACACGAGCAGCCGGGCTCAGAACTCCTCAAAGAGAACAAACTACCGTATTCCTGGAAAGCTAAAGGAAGCGGGCGGGCACATCCCTGCCTTAGAACGCCAAACGAGCGAATCAGCGAGCAGTATGCAAATACACCGCTCTTCTTTTTCTTTTTTTAAAAAAAAGTGACCAAAAATACAACAACTGAGGGGAGGCAGCTGCTGATAATTGGTGACTCTGGGGCCAATCAGCAGCTTAGGGGGCGTGGACACGGGCGCCGGCCTCTTTGGCTTGCCCTCGCTCTGCGTTCCCGCGAGTAACTTAGAGGAACGGAGTGGAGAGTTACGCGCATGCGCTTGTACGATGCAGCGTCGGTCAGTGCCCTTCCCAAGATGGCGGCTACGTTGCGACTTGGCCGGGAGAGGAGCGTTGATGCGACGGCGCGACAAGCACCAATTCCCTTCCGAAGATGGCGGCTGCGAGGTGCTTGAGGAAAACGTGGAATTATCCTATGGCGTTTAGGGTGGGTTTTCCCCCCTTCGCCCCCGTTTATATGCGAGAGGGCTGGGGGCGCTGTAAACTTTGCATTTTCAGGCTTTTTAAAGGCTTGAGTTTCTTAGGTAGCCCGAGCCATTAATTTGCGGGTGGTCAGACTTTCCTGAACTGTGGCTTATAGGAGAATATGATGCTCTCAGGTTGCAAACCCGCCTCAGTGTCGACCCAGATAAACCTAAAATGCTGGTGTGTTTTTCTTGTTTTCGCGATTTTTTTAGGGATGTGTGTGTGTTTTGAATTGGTTCCGCTAATAATTTTATTGCTTTATTATCTTTTTGAAAACCCGCTTTGAGGGTGATTATTTTTGTTTTTTTAAAGCAACCCAGCAGCATGCAAATGTTATGAAATTGCATGCAGCCTTAATAATTGCAATAATAGTGGTGGTGATTAAGACCAGCCACCCCCCCTTAACTAAAATGTGGATTCATCAATAACTGGTTATTTTTATTCTTTTGGGGCACCACTTGCCTTGCTCTGGATTCTGCTTAGTTTTATTTTGTTCGTTTGTTTCATGAAATGTATGTAAAATTCATACAACCTCAAAGCAGCTTGCAAATGGATAAGACACAAATGTTCAACCCCCAATCTTTGGCTCTGTGACTTGTTTGTTAGCCCACCTCTCTCCCCTCACTTGGAAATAATGAAGTTCATACTTCCACCTGGTGGTTATGTATGCCATGCTAGTCTTATATGTTTACATTTATCTTCTCTTTCTCTCTGTATATCTTTTCCACTCAAAGATATGGGCGGGGTATAAATAAATAATAATTATTATTATTATTGTCAAAGCAGCTCACAACAGTAGCAAAATTGTTTTATGCCAACATAGCTTTGCAACTCTAATTAGACAAACATTCTGATGATTTTTAGTATTTCTGCCCCCCCATAGTGTTTTTTATTGTTGCCCTGATACTTTATAATATGGTGACATAGATACATTTCTATGAATAAAAGAAAACATTGTGAAATGCATAAAAGCAAACAATTAAAAATCGTTTTGAAGACTAGCAAGTTTGTTTCTCTGAGCTTCTTAGGGATGTGGATGGTCACTGTTTGGCAAAGACATGCTGGATTGGGCCTCTCTAGCTTAGCAATGTTGTCCTTCTACTACTTTCCTTGGCCGCATAAACCTGCATTACTCCCTATAGTTCAGTGTTCGAAACTACCATTGTTCTAGGCGCATTTTGCGACAGGGAATTTCATTAGCATGAGCCATTTCTGAGTTTAGTACTGAGCCTGAGATTTCAGATTTAAATTGCAGAGTGGAAGGAAAGGAGGACCTTTTTCTGTCTCCTACTTCCAGCTACTCTGGGGAATATTAGTGGTGGTGGGCAGGGTGAGGACTAAACTGTTTAGCTGCAGTTCATTCATTTTCAGCGTTGTAGTCTTGTTTTTAAAAAGTTCCTAGACATTCCGTTGTTGTGCCCATAACCTAGTTTTAAGGTGCCATTTAGCTCCTGGCTTTCATATCTCAGTTTGTAGCACTGCTGTAGTTCTGCCTGGCTGTGAACATGTCTTTGGGTCTCATAACTAGCCCTTTTTTCTGTTTGTCTACCCTCAGGGCCTGGCTACTGTCATACCCAAGGTCTCCCAAGTAGATAATTCTTCTGATTTCTTGGGCAAAATTCCACATCGCCAGCATCCGGGCATCCTCCATCTCAAAAATGTTAGGCTTCCTCCTGAACTGGTAGAAGTAGCTCACTTTCTGGTAACTGGTAAGTAAAACCCATTAACAATGACTCCTCTGTGATATGTGGGGTGGGATGAAGGGTAGTGGACTCATATGCACTTCATAGATTTGTTGGGTGGGCTGGATTCACTCTTCCCAACTCCAGAGGTGCGGAGTTAAAGAATGATTTTGTAATAAACTATTGTTGTTTTCTTGGTCCCTTGATTTTGTATATCGGGGCTGGAGAATACATGACCCTTCAGGGTGTGTTGGACTACAACTCCCAATCAACACGGACAATAGTTAAAAATGAGAGTTGTAGACCTGTAAACTCTGGAGGACTACGGGTCTCCTAGCTTTGAAGAGGGAATGGTCCTTGGGACTTCATTTTCTTATTTTGGTGTTAGAGAGAGAGAGAGAGAGAGAGAGAGAGAGAGAATACGCATATACACACATGTGCAGTGATTGCTTTTTATTGTATTGCTCCTCTGAGCAGTGCAAATGTATCGGAAATGCAGGATATAAATCATCTGCATTAATAAACAACAACAATGATAAAGATAATATTTTGTAGCTTATTCCTCAAGGAGGTGCGGGGATTTGGACTTGTATCAATGAGGAGTTAAGCCTTCAAGTGTTGTGGGCCTAACTCTGTGCAACTCCCTCTTGCAAAAAGTTAGACAGGCACCATCCCTACTGAGTTTCAGTTGCTTAGTCAAAACTCTTCTGTTTCAGGAGGCCTTTGCACCATGAATGCTTCTCAGATGTTTTCCTTTTCCTTTTAGATTTTAAATTATTGATGTTTTAAAAATCTGAAGCCTTCATTTATGTTTTTAATTTTGTACATGGTATATTTTATAACTGTAAGCTTCCTGGAGACCCACATTGGGAAAAGCAAGGTATACATTCCTTAAATCAATAAATAATTAAGTGCTTCCCCGCCCTTGTTGTGCAAGTACAGTTGAACCTCTAGTTACGGACTTAAACTGTTTCGGGGTGCCATTTGCACCCTGAAAAGTCTGCAACTAGAGTGCCACTTCTGCACATGTGTGCAGCGCAATCGAGCACTTCTGCGCATGTGTGAAGCGCACAGATCGCTTTTGCGCTTGCACGGGTGGCAAACCTGGAAGTAAACCCTTTTGGGTTTGCCATGTTCATAAGCTGAAAGTCCGTAACAAGAGCAGAACGCAACATGAGGTATGACTGTACACATCTACATTTTGAGTTGGTGACAGATCAAGGATTCATATAGACTGGATTGGGGAGCAAAAGACTTCTGTTTTGTTTCTGCTTCTATTAAATACTTAGAATTCAAAACCCCTTGTTTATCTGCTGCAGATTTTTGGGGGGATGTACTTAACTACCTGTTGCTCTTCCCCTGATAAGAAAGTTCCCTGCATGTTGATAGCATCATAACAATCTGAGAAAGTGCTTTGGGTCTTCAAGTGAGAGCTGCTGTAGGTGCCCCTACCCTGACTAGCTTTTCGTTTCCCCCAGAATCCTCCATGCGGAATCTGGAGCAACAAACCAAGGCCCTCACCAACTACCTGTGGAGCCGCAAACGCCCCCTGGAGGCTGCAGATCTGCGCAGGAAGGCTCATGAATTGGAGCAGAAATTTCGGGAGAAGAAAAGTGAGTGCAGATTTGTGGGGTAGTTGTGGAGGAGACAATACCTGTTCCCAGAGAGTGAGGATATGATGCTGTTCCCAACTTAGCCATGTAACCTGCTGGGCGATCTTGAGCTAGTCACACTCTTTTAGCCTAACGTACCTTACATGTTGTTGCATGGGGGTGGGTGGGAGAAAGGGGTTGAATAATGATTGATACTAGTGTGGGAGAAGAGTGGAGTTAAATAAAATAATTCGACTTCTTCTGTCTCAGATGCCACGGGCCCTCTGGATGAGGAAGCCGAGGCGAAGCTGCAGAAAAAGGTCTTGGATGCACTTCGAAAATCGACTTACCACTGGGAGGAGCTGAAGTGAGTGTCCTGGGGACCTTGCCAGAAACCAAGGACCTGATTCTCTTGGGAAGATTTGGTGTGAACATAGCATGCTGTCTCATATTACTGAATGCAGACTGGCAGTCCTTCTTTTATTGCAGAGCCTTTTGTTTCCCGTTCTAAATACAGAGAATCAATATGGTGACTTATTCCAAACAGTAATCTACAGCAAACTTACGTGGTCCTGGACATGCATTCTTACATGGCTTTAGATAAATTCATGGAGAGTAGCACTGTCTGTTGGTGGCTACTATGCAAATGGATGTTTACTTCTTCTAGTGCCAGAGATAAAGTGGGTCTGAATATCAGCTGCAAGCAGAATAGGGCTATCACCCTCATTTCCTGCTTGTGGGCTTTGCACAATAATCTAGTTAGCTATTATGGGAGCAGAAGGCTGGACCAGATGGGCCATGGTCTATTCTCAGAAGGTTGAATTAAATTTGGCCAGCCTGCAGAAGACACCCGGCTCTTTATTGTAACAGGGATAAGTCGATAGCAACAACTGGTAGTAGAGCAGATACGACTCATTACACAATTTAGACCAGCAGGGAGCTCTCGCTCAGCCCTTTTTTGTGGTGCGGTGCTTTCCCTTTTCTCTCAGTGGCACAGGCTGTGAGAATTGTGCTCCTTGCTGACTTGGTTATGTGGTTTGTCTTTTCCTAGGTACACTGAAGAGCTCAGCTTTATATACATGGCAGCCCGGATGGACGGGGTTTTTGCAGCTGTGACCCGAGCTTTCCATGAAGTGAGTTGACATTTCAAGTTTTTAGTGGGTGGAGTAAGGTGAGAAGATGGCTGTGTACTACATGTTCAAAATAACTTGGTGGCTATTAATTTACTAGTAGTTAAAACATAACCAAACATTCATTTGGTAAAACTCTGGATTATTCAGGCTTCTGACTAAAAAAGGTAAAGGGACCCCTGACCATTAGGTCCAGTCGTGACCGACTCTGGGGTTGCAGCGCTCATCTCGCTCTATGGGCCGAGGGAGCCGGCGTTTGTCCGCAGACAGCTTCCGGGTCATGTGGCCAGCATGACTAAGCCGCTTCTGGCGAACCAGAGCAACACAGAAACGCCATTTACCTTCCCGCCGGAGCGGTTCCTATTTATCTACTTGCACTTTGACGTGCTTTTGAACTGCTAGGTTGGCAGGAGCTGGGACAGAGCAACGGGAGCTCACCCCGTCACAGGGATTCGAACCGCCGATCTTCTGATCGGCAAGTCCTAGGCTCTGTGGTTTAACCCACAGCGCCACCTGCGTCCCAGGCTTCTGACTAGTGCAGCATTATTTAGATATGAGAACCCCAGGTTCTCATCCCCTTTGAGCAAAGGATTTGCTTTGTTGGGGTCTTCTGGCAAGCCCTACCTTTATGTAAGCAAAACAAAAAAAACCCAGAGGGATTCTGTCTCCATCCATTGGCTGAAAGGAACAGGAACCGTGAATAGTTTCAAGAGAAGATCAGCCTGACCTGAGCTGCATATAAGTGCCTTGCTATGGGTCACCACTTTGTCCTGGCCTTGAATAACAGATCGTCCCTCTCTACATTTTCCCTCAGCACCTCTTCCTCATACGTCTTGCCTTTTTATTTTTGGGTTTGTAAGGCTGTTTGCAAATGCTCCACCCCACCAATTGGTATGAGCGAATTTGGCAAACAGTAATTTGCCACGGCAAACAGGATTAAAAATGCAGGAAATAAATAAAATAGATATGGCTTGGGTTCCCTTCCCCTCGTATAAATGCTTTCTGAGCCTGTGGTCAGTATTTCATTCTTGGTGACCTTCTGGGGGCCAAATAACAGTGGATAGGGTGAGAGGCAAAAGTATGCGGATCAGGAAACAAAAAGTTTCCCTTTGTTCAAGAGGCTAGTGTCTATACGTATCCACATGCACACACCTCTGTCCTCCACCCTGGTGAGCAGGAGCCATTATTGGAGTTCAAGGGCACATTCCAGCCAGGTTAAGAATAATCAAGGAGGGTATTATTTGTGATGTGGTGTGAGAGTCCTGGGGAGCAAATGGAGAGAGGCCCCAGGATTGACATTCCCCATCCTTGATTTATACACTGCCCATTAAATGACCAAGCTGCTTCACCTGCATTGTTTCTGTAATGGTTAACAACAGCCCTATAAGGTAGGTCAGCATTATTTAGTATGATTCATAATCTGAGACTCTTATACCTGGCTGGCTTTTGCTCGCTCTATTAGCCCATGCACAAGCTGCAGTTAGGTGAGCAAAGTTGCTTTGTACACTCTCCCTGCTGTGGCAGTGCAAAGCAGGTGTTTCCTGTAAGGTTTGAATTTCTAGCGGGTATTTGAAAGCTTTCTGGGCTGCGTCTGTGGTATTCCGCTAAGCTTTCCTCAGAGTAGACCCCTAGAAATTGATATACATTAGGTCCATTAATTTTAGTAGGCCTACTCTTGAGTAAAACTTGGTTGAATGCCATCCTGTTTTGTTTTTGTATAGTTAATTACTTTGGTGTTGCTTTTAAAGTGATCGTTATCGCACTGCAGGGTTCATTTGTAAATACCGTACCCTACTTTCAAATGGAGAACGGGGTCATATGTTTTTTTATTTTTTTGTATATAATTTTTATTAAATTTTCTAAATTGCATTTCAAAATACTCATTTAAACAACCTTAAATCAATGGCTTCCCTTCTTCCCTTTCCGTGGTTCATTTTGCATACCATACATCCCTGCATATTTTACATGAACTAAACCGTTCAGTAATCCATTGTTACATCCATCAAAACTTACTTACACTGTTGAATTTATCTTAATGCTACCAGTGTTTTTAAATGAACACAATTTTCACCCATATATTCAGTAAACGTTTTCCAGTCTTCTTTAAACATGCATTCTTCTTATTCTCTTATTCTATAAATTAAATCCACAAGCTGTGCGTATTCCATCTGTTTTAAGTTGCCATTCTTCTTTAGTTGGGACCACTCTCATTTTCCATTTTTGGACTAACACGGGCCGCAGTAGTAGCATACATAAATAGTCTTTTTTAACACTTGGGAATTTTCCTCTGAATTATCCCCAACAAAAAGGACCCTGGTTTTTTGGGGAAAGGTTCGTATGTATGCTCAATTGACAGCAGTCCTTGGTTTATGAAGCAATTTCTCTTTTTTGCCTCCTTCAGATCCAGAAGAGAGTCTCGGACTTTGAGCCGCGCACCCTGTTGGATTTCGGCTCAGGAACGGGTGCAGTCACCTGGTGAGAAACCATGTCAATTCCTGAGCAGCATTGAGGGAGGGAGGGAGGGAAATATTGATGTAAATAGGGGTGGGGAACCTGTGGCCCTTCTGCTGCTGGACTCTTAACTCCCATCAGCCAGCAGGTTAGTGGTCAAGAATAATAGTAACTGTATTCCAGTATCTGGAGGGCCACGGGTTCTTTATCCCTGGTCCAGGAGTCTTCCCATCCCAGCAGCTCGGATTTTTTAGAAGAGACCATTCATAGACGTGCCACCCTGCTCCTTTCTTTCCTCTCCTTCCCCTTCACTTTAGGGCAGCACACGGCATCTGGGGCAAGAGTATCAACGAGTACATGAACATCGACAGTTCGGCTTCAATGTTAGCCTTAGCTGAGAGGCTGATGAAAGGTGAGAGTTGTGAGTGGTGCTATGTGGAGAACTTCATGTGGGGTGGAGTGGGGTTCTCCTTTGCCTAACATCTGTCCAGGAACCCTATCATGCCAGTGAAATACACCCCCGCCCCGTCCTGGATTAATAGGTAGGACACCAGATGCCCAATGAATGGGGAAATTATATGCAGGGACCATTGAAATGAAGGGAAGCTCTGCCCCTTTGCCCTTTTGTTGTGATTTGCACAGGGCAGTTCAGTGTAACCCTACTCTTTAAGCATAAAACCTGTGCCTCGGCCGTATGGCTTCAGACCCTTTCTGTACTGCAGTTTCCACCATTGCCACTAGAATCATGGGAGCATAGGAAACTGCTACATCTGGTACACAGACTGAGACCCTACCTACCCGCAGGCTGTCTCGCCAGAGTGGTGCATGCTCTGGTTATCTCCCGCTTGGACTATTGCAATGTGCTCTACGTGGGGCTACCTTTGAAAGTGACCCGGAAACTACAACTAATCCAGAATGCGGCAGCTAGACTGGTGACTGGGAGCGGCTGCTGAGACCACATAACACCGGTCCTGAAAGACCTACATTGGCTCCCAGTATGTTTCCGAGCATAATTCAAGGTGTTGGTGCTGACCTTTAAAGCCCTAAACAGCCTCAGCCCCTTATACCTGAAGGAGCGTCTCCACCCCCATCGTTCAGCCCGGACACTGAGGTCCAGCTCCAAGGGCTTTCTGGCAGGTCCCTCGCTGCGAGAAGTGAGGTTATAGGGAACTAGGCAGAGGGCCTTTTTGGTAGTGGAACGTCCTCCCACCAGATGTCAAGGAAATAAACAACTATCTGACTTTTAGAAGACATCTGAAGGCAGCCCTGTTTAGGGAAGTTTTTCATGTTTGATCTTCTTATTGTGTTTTTAATATCCTGTTGGAAGCCACTCAGAGTGGCTGGGGAGGCCCAGCCAGATGGGTGGGGTATAAGTAATAGATTATTATTATTATTATTATTATTATTATTATTATTATTATTATACAGGGTCAGGCCATTGGTCCACCTTTCTCAGTACTGTAGACACTGGCTGGCAGTCGCTCTCCAGGGTTTCAGCAGGAGTCTCTCCCAGCCCTACCTGGGAATATCAAGGATTGATCTTAGCACCTTTTGCATGCAAAACGTACATTCTACTCACTGAGTTATAGCACTTCACCTGTTGTATTTGAGCTCCCACAAACCTCTCCATGTTTCTACCTTTGTTTTTGGTTTTTTTTTTGGTTTGGTTTTTTAAATATAACTACCCAGGCATTTCTGAGGAGAAGAATCTCTGCATCCCAGGAGTCTACTTTCGGCAGTTCCTCCCAGTCTCACCAAAGGTAATAATAACTCATCATCTTATTTTCCTCCCAGTGGGAGCTGCACTCAGAGCAGGATGAGTCCCAGGGGGTCTCGTTAAATCTGCATTCAGGTGCCTACAGTCCCCTGTTGTTCTGTTGACTGGGTACCATTGTGTGTTTTCCAGAATCCCACAAGGATTTCCCACTTGAACTGGTTAACCGCCACATCTAAACAGGTTCCCCCTCCCATTCCCCAGGCTTAATGATTGGAAATGGTCTTCAAACAAGTTTGTTTTTAAATACTTCTTATGCTGTGTAAATTTTCCATTTAAAAAACCCTGCAAGTGGCCAACTTTTGCCACACTTAAGAATAATCAGAGATTTTCACGAATAATACCAATGGCTTGAGCCATAAGGAAGTTCATGGGAGGAATTTTCCGCGTCTTCTGCTACTTCCACCAAATCCACAACGTATCTGTTCCAGAGGGCCCTTAATAATATCCATTATACAGAGGCCTCTTCTGCCCTCCCCAACTGCTGCCAGCCACCACCTGTTGGATCATTGCATTGTGAAGTTGGTTAAGCTGACAGTGTACCTTTGTCATAATCACCCAGGAAACTTCATGGCAGAGCAGAGAATGGACTGATCTTCCTGGTCTTAAGTCCAAGAGCTTGACTGTTACACTGCAGAAGTTGTCCACACTGGCTCTAAATTAAACTTTTGGTCTTTTTTCTTTTCTTTTCTTGTTTAAAGGACCCTAAAATTTGTAATGGGACACACTGTTCCTACATATTCCAGCCCCATTTTTCTTTCTCCCTTTGCTTGACATGCAGGTGAAATTTGACCTTGTGGTTTCTGCTTTCTCACTCAACGAACTCCAAAGTTATGCTCAGAGAGTGGAGACAGTGCAGACACTCTGGAGAAAGACAGGTGGCTTTTTGGTAAGTGGGCAAACAGCTTACCCGTCTGATACTGTGTTTCTCCCCCTAAATACATGCAACTGAAGCAACCACATATACCTTCCCTGTTAACCTTGCCTTCCATTCTTCTGTTCCAGGGATGGGGAATAACTGGGTGTGGCCCATGCGGCCTCCCTACCCATCCTCCAGCATATCCTTGCCTCCTCTCTGCCCTCACTCTCACACGTATTGCAGTAAGGCTTGGGGAAAGCTACCTATTTGGACCCTGCAAACATATTACACGCTCACCATAATTAGAGGTGAGGATGTGTGGAGCTCCTATTGGCTCCAGTAAATGGAGGGGGATATGCAGTTTCTATGGGACACAGGTGGCGCTGTGGGTTAAACCACAGAGCCTAGGGCTTCCCGATCAGAAGGTCGGCGGTTCGAATCCTCGCGACAGGGTGGGCTCCCGTTGCTCGGTCTCTGTTCCTGCCAACCTAGCAGTTCGAAAGCACGTCAAAGTGCAAGTAGATAAATAGGTACCGCTCTGGCGGGAAGGTAAACGGCGTTTCCGTGCGCTGTTCTGGTTTGCCAGAAGCAGCTTAGTCATGCTGGCCACATGACCCGAAAGCTGTACGCCGGCTCCCTCGGCCAATAAAGCGAGATGAGCGCCACAACCCCGGAGTCGTCCGTGACTGGACCTAATGGTCCGGGGTCCCTTTACTTTTACCTATGCAATTTCTATTGTCTCTGCAATTCTCTCTATTTCTCTAACTGTGACCTGGATTCCTCTGTACATTGAATGAAAAGGGGGCTCCTGATTCTTAGGGCAACTCAGAGGAAACTCTGTGAGCTGCTGTTCCTGGATCACCAAGTCACGGCACTGAGAGAGCAGCAGAAAGTGGAGGCACCTGCTTCCTCTATATAAAATCTTAATATTGTAGACGACTTCCAGGGAGGCGCCTCCGGCAATGGCTGGATTCCTCTGATCGGGAGGAATCAGCTCCGTGGAAATCTGGGTCTGGCCGCCACGGCGAAGGCGGAGACCCGTTAAAAATCACAGGTGGGAGAAGCCTGTGAGCGTGGGATTCGGCGGGCACCCTTTGCGCCTCCCCCACTCGCAGGGAAACCCGGTTTCGGGGATCCGGAGCGACGTGGGGTGAGCGGCGCGGTGCTTCGAATCATCTGCTTCTTCCACGGAGTGAAGCCGCATAGCTGTTGTCAGAGAGCGCTGACTTTTTCCTGTGGACAAATTGACTCCAAAGTAACTACCCGTGAGTAGAGCTTAATTGGGAAAATTTGGCATCGAAACGGGGAAGGTACAATACAGGAAGTCCGCCTTCCCCTTTTGTAAATAGACTGAAGCAATGGAGGCTGCAAGCTGAAGTCTTGGAAAGCCTTTTGTAAAAGACTAAATTTCCATAAGAATATAATCCCCCCCCTCCTTGGAGGCAGGAGAAGAGGGGGGAGGGAAGTTGTTAACTGAGTTTGCCTGCGGAAGAGACCAAGAGAGGTAAAACACCGCCGCTCGGACCCTGGGAACGGGCTGCTAGAAGGTCCGACGTTTTGGTGAGACGACTATTGACAGTGCTTGGATCGTGTTGACAGCTAGCATAAGAGAAGATACATTGTTTTTACTGTTTCCAGCAGTGAAAGTAACTGAAAATTGAAATTAGTTTGGGGTCGTTTGAACTGTGCTTTAAGAGGATATTACTTATCAATACAAACAGAAACTGTTTCCCTCTAGTGGAAGTTCTTGAAACTGGCGGCTACATAAGATCTGGGCTGGGAAATTTCCAGTTGTAAGATAAAAACCGTGAGACTGTGAGTTGACCTTGAATCTATTGAGTGTTATGGCAGATGCGAAAGACCGAATGTCGCCAGAAGAGGCCTTAGTGATTGTACTAGTGAAAATAAATGATTCGCTGGAACAGCTTCACAAGAAAATGGATGTGATAAATATGAAAGTGGATGCTGCAAATATTAAAAATGATTTAATGGTAGAAAGTTTAAATAACCTGGGACAAAAGGTGAATATCAATACAGAAACCACCCAGAAATTGATACAGGAATCTATCCTGATACAGCAAACTGCGGATGAAGTTAAGGAGAAAACCCTCGCTGCTGAAGTTAAAGTAATTCAACTGAGAGAGAGAGAGTCCCATCCATACAAGGACGATTTGATGAATACGAGCTGACACCTGATATGACTGAACTTAAAGAGAAACAGATGAAATTGAGGATCAGAGCCCTACCCGAGGAAAAGGAAACCTTGATAGAGTTTCAGGAGGAGATAGGACTAACATTGGTTGAGAAAGAGAGGTATTGGGGGGTTAGTATGACCGCCAGAAATGTGAATTTATTCAAGGGCAACTGTGAAGGACTTTGGCTTGAAAACAAGGGGGATTTGGAAATAGGGCTAAATTGGAAGTTGCTATTGTTGGACCGAGTTGCTGTGGTGTGGGGACGAGGGTTGCGGTGAGGTCGGGGATGTTGCTTTTGTTTCAAACATTGCAAGGTTTGGATGGGAGGGATCGTTTCAGGAGGTGGCAGAGGGATGTCTCTAGATCTGTATGGCAGGGCAGGAAGCCTCGAGTAAAATTTAAGATATTAACGGATGCTAAAGAAGGAGGTGGACTTGCCCTGCCAGACCTCTAAATTTTGTTGTGAATCATCTGCTTTTTGCTGGCTGAGAGAATCGGCAGAATCCGAGACCAGGGAGAAGAGCTGGTGGAAGAAGATTGGAAGTTTAAAGACTATTTATAGAAATATTGCAAAATTAATGAATGTTAGAACAAAGTGGGAATGAAGTTATATGGCTTTAGCAGAAATGTTATAAGGAATTAAGTATAAATAGATTAATTGAGCATTAAAGGGAATAAAATAAGGTTAGAATGTGTTAAGATAATTATAGGATAGTAAACAGAGGAAGATGGAAAGGAATTGCTAAAATAATTAATTGATGTGGAATACAAAAAGAGAGGTGTGAGGAAGTCATGGAAATAAGCGAATGAAAGATATGACATTGAAATTGTTTAAAATGGTCTTTGTTTTGTTTTATATGTCTTGCATTGTATTGTGTTTTCTGTTTGTTGTTTCTTTTTGCTTCTTTGCTTTGTTTAACTCTTTTTCTTTTTTTTGGTAACTTTTAAACTCTTAATAAATATTATTTAAAAAAAAAAATCTTAATATTGTAAGCTCCCCAGGACAGGGATTTCTTCTCGTGTGCCTTGCCCACTGGTGGTGCTATAGATAGTAACAACTTTCCCTTGCATTCCATGCACTGCAGAAGCCTGCTCTTCTTTGGGAATGGGGGGGGGGCTGTTGCTCAGCACCACCCAGTGTATAGTCTCTCCCTTGCCTTCATTTTTCCAGGTTCTGGTAGAGAACGGGACCAAAGAAGGTCATCAGATGCTCATGGAAGCCCGGGATCTTATTTTAAAGGTGAGGCACTTCTCTGTGTTTGTGGCCTTTAAAGAAATGCATGCAGGCTATAAAATAGGAGTTGACGGCCTTTTTAGACCTGCGAGCAAATGCTGGGGGTGCAACCCCTGACTTCTTCCTGCTCCCCAGAGATAGAAAATGTGTGTGCGCGCATACGCACAGCTTTTAAAAGTGCTGAGTGAGCAAGTGGGAATGAGTGTCATTCTTCCACCTTCCCCTTCCAGTTCTGCAAGCTCTCCATGGGACAAAAGGTGATGGCCTCATAACCAAGGGGGGCTGTAAGTGTGGGCACCAGAAGAAGACATCAAGGGTGCTGTTACACCCATGGGTGCTGTGTTGGTGACCCCTGAAATAAAACGATTGTTTAAAAAAGGATATTGTGCCAGGAAGCATGTCAGCCTCCTTCTCTTAGACTGATGATTGCTTTATGTCTTCTCCAAAGTTTTTCTCTGGAGCGTGGACTGTAATTAATGAGTTTAAGATTCATAATTTCCCTCCTGAAGACCTTTAACTCCAAACTCTGCTAATTAACAAAACTGCTCCAGATTACCACTCTTACTTGCACAGATACTTAAAAATCCAATTTTAATTAAAGAAGGAAAGTTAATTCCCACCCACCCCATAATTGTAACAGGTATAATTGTTTTCGGTTGGTTTGTTTTTCTATTTTGTAAATGGAGGCTTGTATGAGGCTTGGGATTGCTACCGTGGAGGGGCGAGGGAGGTATGGTGGTGGGGGCAGATGTTATAGGCGAAGGGGATCGAGATACGGATATGCTCGTACCCCTTCCAATCTGCGCCCCATCCCGAGGGACGAGGGTAGGGTGAGCAAGGATTACTCACCTCCGTCACTGGTGTTGTGCAATGCCAGGTCTATAGGCAACAAAACCGCCACTCTGCGAGATTTCTTTACCTCGCAGGGGGTCGACCTGGCTTGTGTGACGGAGACCTGGGTACGCGAAGGGGCAACAGTTACCTTACGAGAGATGGCGCCCCCGGGTTTCTCCGTCCTCCACCAGTCACGGGCCGGGGGGGAGGGGTGGCATTATTAATCCGGGAAGATTGTCCTTTCAGGGCTCTACCATCGCCATCGATCCCCGGCATTGAATGTGTTGGCCTAGTGTGGGGCTCTGAGGTGAGCTTGGCTGTCTGGCTGGTGTACCGGCCACCTAGCGCACCAGCAGCCACCCTGTCAGGCCTGCTGGAGGCGGTGGCCGGCTGGGCCTTGGAGTTCCCTAACCTATTGGTATTGGGGGACTTCAGCATCCATGCTGATGCCACTCCCTCCTCACAGGCTCTGGACCTGGTGTCTTCCATGGCAACACTAGGGCTCTCCCAGTTTGTTTCAGGCCCCACACATCAAGCAGGCCACACGCTGGATTTGATCTTTGGCGTAGGTATAGATGTGATCATGTCTCCTTCAATTAAGGTGCCGTGGTCTGATCACTACGCTCTGAAAGCCAGGATTGACTTTCCACCCCCACCCTGCTTAGGTGGCGAGCCGATTTGGGCTCGCCCGCAGAGGCTGATGGACCCTGATAGATTCCGTCAAGCCTTGCGGGACCTTGCTCCCCCTGGCGACTCATTGACTGAGCTTGTTGAGGGCTGGAATACCCAGCTCCTGGCAGCCATAGATGAGATCGCACCTAAGCGCCCTCTGCGACTCCGCAGAAACCGGGCTCCCTGGTTTACCGAGGAGCTTCGGAAAATGAAGCGGGACCTCAGGCGGCTAGAGCGAGTATGGCGGGGTGCCCGTGGCGGAGCCTCAAGAACATCTTATAGGGTTTTTATGAAAACCTATGAGATGGCGGTGAAAGCCGCTAGAAGTCCTACTTCTCGGCCTCCATTGCATCCGCTAGCTCTCGCCCGGCGCAATTATTTAGTATAATTAGGTCTTTAACGTCCCTTGAAGGACAGCCAAATTTAAATAACAATCTGACACACAGCTGTGAGGCATTTGCGAGCTTTTTGCGGAGAAGGTCCTGTTGCTCCGCCATGACCTCCCTGCCAATTTGGATACAATAAAGGAACTGGAGGCCCCTCGACTGTCCTCGGGTCCAGTATTGGACCACTTTGATCGGATATCCCCAGCCGATGTGGACAGACTCCTCCGAGCTGGAAAGCCCACCACCTGTCCTCTTGACCCGTGCCCGTCTTGGCTGATTAGAGCGTGTCCAGGCGAGGTGCGGGCCCCTGGGGATATCATCAATTTGTCCCTTGGCACCGGGATATTTCCAGGGGAATTGAAGGAGGCAGTGGTGCGCCCGCTCTTAAAGAAAACATCATTAGATCCCTTAGATCTATCCAATTACCGCCCGGTTTCGAATCTTCCATTCCTGGGTAAGGTGATTGAGAGAGCGGTTGCTGAACAGCTTGGTAGGTTTCTGGATGAAACATCGGCTCTGGATCCATTCCAGTCTGGCTTCCGCGCTGGTCATGGGACCGAGACGGCTCTGGTCGCCCTAACAGATGATCTCCGCAGGCAGCTGGATCGAGGCGGGTCGGGGCTGCTGATTCTTCTAGACCTGTCAGCAGCCTTCGACATGGTTGATCACGAACTCCTGGACCACCGCCTTGCCGACGTGGGGATCCAGGGCACAGTCCTTCAATGGCTGCGCTCGTTTCTCTCCGGTCGGGGGACAGAGGGTGGCGCTTGGGGGGGAATTGTCATCCCGCCACTCCTTGGTGTGTGGAGTGCCTCAGGGTGCGATACTCTCCCCGATGCTTTTTAACATCTTTATGCGCCCCTCGCCCAGCTTGTCCGGAGTTTTGGGCTGGGTTGCCATCAGTATGCCGATGACACCCAACTCTATCTGTTGATGGATGGCCATCCTGACTCGGCCCCAGACACACTGACCAGATGTTTGGAAGCTGTGGCTGGATGGTTACGTGGAAGCCGGTTGAAGTTAAATCCTTCGAAGACAGAGGTCCTCTGGCTGGGACGGGACGATATGGGATTGGGGGGGCAACTCCCATCTCTTGCGAGGGTGCAATTAGTGCCAGCACCGTCCGTTAAGAGTTTGGGTGTAATCTTCGATACCTCCCTCTCTATGGAGGCGCAGATTACAGCTATAACAAAGGCGGCATTTTTCATCTCCGCCAAGCTAAGCAGTTGGCCCCTTATCTCTCTCGCCCTGACCTAGCCACTGTGATCCACGCGACGGTCACCTCCAGACTGGATTATTGTAACTCGCTCTACGTGGGGCTGCCCTTGAGACTGACCCAGAAACTCCAGCGGGTGCAGAATGCCGCGGCGAGACTCCTTATGGGGTCTTCGCTGCGAGATCACATTCATCCGGTACTATACCAGCTGCACTGGCTCCCGGTGGAGTACAGGATCAGGTTTAAGGTGCTGGTTTTAACCTTTAAAGCCCTATACGGCCTAGGACCCTCGTACCTACGGGACCGCCTCTCCTGGTATGCCCCACAGAGGAACCTACGGTCTGCAAATAAAAACATCCTGAAGGTCCCAGGCCTCAGAGAGGTTAGGCTGGCCTCAACTAGAGCCAGGGCTTTCTCGGCTGCGGCTCCAATCTGGTGGAACGCTCTGTCACAAGAGACTAGGGCCCTGCGGGACCTGACATCTTTCCGCAAGGCCTGCAAGACAGAGTTGTTCCACCAGGCCTTTGGTCAGGGCCCAGCCTGACTCCCTCCTCTGGCAACCTGCACAGAACTTTGCTTAACGGTTGCCATTAAATTGATTTTAATTAATTTTTATAATGAAATGTTTTAGAATGTTGGATTATTTGATTGTTTGATTATTTGTTTGTTGTTAGCCGCCCTGAGCCTGGCTTTGGCTGGGGAGGGCGGGATATAAATAAAAAATTTTATTATTATTATTATTATTATTATTATTATTATTATTATTATTATTATCTAGGCTAGTCTCCATTTCAAATGGGCCTGAACTTCTAAACAAGTTGATAGGCCTGTTCCTGTGATGGCTGCACCTGCTCGACCTCTGGCCCCTGTATTTTCCTCAATATTTAGCTTCCTTGCCCATGATCGAGGAAGGACTGTGAGAATGACATGCGTGACTGTTTAAATGAATTGTTTCTCTACCCCCATCCATCTTCTTCTGTAGGGCACAGATGAAGTGGTTCATGATCCCACAGAGCCTTCCGTTTTTGCCCCGGTGAGTTTAGAAATTTTCCTGAAGCTAGATTGAGTAAAAAGGAGCTGCGGCTGCTGAATCCTGAGAAGAAGGAGGACTTGTGGATGGTTCCTAGGTCCAGGAATTAGGTGATTTACCTGTTCTGGACAGAATTGTATCCCCCCCCCCCAAAAAAAAAGGCTGTACACCTGCTTTGGATTTTGAATGAAAGCCAGCCTACAAATGTTTTAAATGTACAATATAAACAACAGTACCAAAACTGCCAAACAGATACATGAGAGTAGTGGGAAGCTAATATACAGTTCAGATATAACCATCTCAATATGATAAATCAAGAATAAACAACCTGATGCCCCCCAGATGTTGCTGAACTACAGCTCCCATCATCCTAGCCCATTTGCCATGTTGGCTAGGGTTGATGTGTTTTGGGAGTCCCAGTAATTTCTGGAGGGCAACAACCCCTAAGGTAAAGCAAGGTCTCTTAGACTGAGAATGATTGGTGTTTCTGCAAGTTCCCTCTACCCATCTCTTGTGTGTTTGAATTCAGTATTTTGGGGGCTTGTTAAACCACAGTTTCCTGTTTCATCCTAACAGAAGCCTCGCTTGCAACCTTGGAAAAAATACTGTGGTTTGCAGTCTGTTTTAGTGGGTGGAACATAAACCACGGCATCTAAATTGTACCAAGTGTGTAAGAAACGAGAGGTTTTGAAATGAGATGCAGGAAACAGGCTGTTCATTTGGCTTATTGGACCGAGATTGTTTCATCTGGACCATGTCTAATAAATTCTTCCACTTAGAGCAATGTGGAGTAGATAGGATGCAAAGGCTTGTTAATTTGGGGGGGGGGGCTGTGGGCAAATTAGATTTTGGTTGTCTTCTATTCCCAGAGAGATAAATATCCCTACCATAACCTGAGACTAACAGATACTTTCTGCCCTTTCTCTCTTATGCTCAGTGTCCGCACCATTTGCCATGCCCTCGTTTGTCGCCTGACCGTATCCTGCCATGTAACTTCACCCAGACGTATTTCCCGCTGCCTTTCAGTTGGGTGAGTTTCCGCTTATTCCACGTGCAGTGCTTTTCCACGTTGTATGTTGATCAACCTCCTGTTGTGTTCATTTAGCTTGGGGTGTAGTTACAAGCAATAGGCTGGTTGGCTCAGCTTCACTCATTTCCAATATACCGCATTTTTCGCCCTATAGGACGCACTTTTTCCCCTCCAAAAATGAAGGGGAAATGTGTGTGCGTCCTATGGGGCGAATGCAGGCTTTCGCTGAAGCCTGGAGAGCGAGAGGGGTCGGTGCGCACCGACCCCTCTCGCTCTCCAGGCTTCGGGAAGCTATCCGCAAGCCTTGGGAGCATGCGGGAGTTCGCTGAGCAGTCGCACCCGGGCTTCGGGTAGCTCTGCGCAAGCCGCAGGAGCCCTCCCACGGCTTGCGGAGAGCAGCTTGTTCTGGGGGCTGGGGTCAGGGGAAGCTCGGGCTTCCCCCGCCCCAGCCCCGCGCCTGGGGGGGAAATAAATTTTTTTTTCTTTATTTCCCCCAAAAAAACTAGGTGCGCCCTATGAGCCGGTGCGCCCTATGGGGCGAAAAATACGGTAACTTAACTACGTTTCCCTACCCTGTAGACTGCAAAAAAGCATACTGAGCCCTTTTATTAGTTGTCACCATTCATGCAGGCAGTTCCTCTGCACAGCGGGGTCACAAAACTATGACATAGCACACTTGAGAGCATGCACAGAGCAGAAAGCAAGAGGGGGGAGGGACCAAATTGTGTCCTCACTCAGGGTGCCAATAAAAACCTGCTCACTTGTCCACGGTGATGTGTTTTGTATTGTTTTTGTTACATAGACGCTTTTCCCATGCATGAACGATACGGGGCAAAGGGACATGTTATTAGGCTCCATTAACAGCATCTGTCAAATATCCTGCCCTTCTCCCTTCACCTATCTCATTCTGGGGGATCAGGGCTGGGAAATGCTGGCATGCTGAATCGGATAGGGAGTCGGGCATCAGTTAATCCACACCCGATTAAACATGAAGCCAACTTCAAGAGTTGGATCGCTGGGAAGCAAATTAGTGAGGGGGGGGGAGCTGTATTCTGCAGAGATCCATTTTCCCCTTCCCAACCTTCTGTGTCTTCCTCCAGAACCCACCAAAGAAGGAGGAGAAATTCTCATACCTGATCCTACGCAGAGGATCGGGGGAACTGGAGCAGCCCTGGCCTCGGATCACAAAGCCTGTCCTTTGTCGTACCCGCCATGTCCACGTCCACCTGTGCTGTCCCGATGGCAGCCTTCAGCACGCAGTGATTACTTCAAAAAAACACAGCAGGTACTGGATCTCTTCTCCCGAAGGTGGGAGGGGCCTTGGTTCTAGACTCTCATTCATTCTCTGGTGGCACGTTGGGTGTAGACTTTCCCCCTACTTCTAATATTTTAATTTTATTTCAAGATTCAAAGTTGTACTTTGTCACTCAATAGTTATAATCCTATTCCACTTTAATTCTCTGGACAAAGTAACTGCAAGAATGATCAAGGCACCGGAGTAACTTCCCTTTGAGAAATTTTATATCATTTGGGGCTTTTAGCTTAGAAAAATAGCCGGTAAAGTGTCTGTTTGTGTGTAACACAATAGAGGTTTGTAATATTATGCGTGGTGTGGAGTTACGTAAACGGAGGGGTTTTTACACCCTCTCTCATGTAGGGATCATCTTCGCCCATCGTTCTCTCCTACAGGGATATTTACAGATGTGCCCGGAACTGTGAATGTGGAGACCGCCTCCCTGTTTTGAACCTGGATAGCGAGCCAGACTCGGGAGAAGAGAGAGGCGACACGGATGAAGATCACCTCTGATGGGAGCTCTTTCCAGCCACCCTCCTCATCCCAGCATATACCACATCCTCTAAGAGACATCTTGCATCAGATGGGCTTACAAATGCTGGATGGCTTTCCAGAATCCATGAGCTGGTTGGATAAACTGGTGCCACAAGGCACATTTCCAGGCCTTCCTGGCCTAGTGGGGGAATTGTGGCATCTTAGAGAGCAGAAGCTTTCAGTAAGCTTCAGGCAGTTTTATATCAGTGTTAAACATACAGAAGTTGTTCCTGCTCCTTGGAGACACACTGCGCATGTATTTATTGTAGATCTGTTTTTGCTGTGGTCTTACATGGCTGCATATTTATTCATAAACTCCAAAGAGTCATTTTCTACTTAACCAGTCACCAGAGATGCTTTGCCCGTCTATATTCTCTGTCCGAGATGTGCAGATTGCAGGCTGAAAACAAACATCAAGCTCTCTGGTGTGTCTGTTTCTGCTGCTACCCCTTTTCAGGTGGTAAGGTGTACAGGGTTGAACCTTTAAATCCCTCCCCTGTTCTCACTTCTCTAAAATCTATCTGTTCAAGACCCCTGTATTGTGGAAAGGATAGCTCCAAACCTCCCTGTTATTGTATTCGTAGGAGGAATGTTATGGGAGAAAAGATCTCCAGAAAGATCTCCTCTCCCATGCAAAAAAAAAAAAAGGATTGCAAGGTGCTTCTGCCTGTTTGTCCTAGTTCTTAGGTAAAGTCCCTGTTTGAAGAGACTGAGTAAACCTGTTGGTGCAGTTACTTTCATAGGAACCCAGTAGGAGGCTTAATGCAGCTGGACTGCATGGGAAGCCTTGCCTATGCATGGGGAACCTGTGAGTCTCTGGAGGTTAGACTTCCATTGGCCTCCCATGGTCAGGGATGATGGGGGTGGTTGTCCAGCACTATCTGGACCACCCTAGACAAGCCACCTTTAGGCTGGGAGGAGCTGCCTCTGGGGCTTAGTGCAGATGAATTTCTCCTTTAGAACGTGGACAGTCAAGTTGGATAAAGAATGCCAAAGCAGCAGAGATCCTTTCCCTTTTTTCAAGGCAGGCTCATGGGTGGAAGAATGTGATTCTAAATGGAATTTGTGGGGGTGAGCCTGAAACAAGGAGCTGGTAGATCTCTAGTTTTGGTCCAGGGCTGAAGGGTGTGATCTTGACTCTTGGTTTCATTCTCAGCTCTGGAATTAGATGTTTAAAATAGGGCTAGGAGGGATCCTGGATTCAGTTCCTTGTTTTGGAGTTGGGGCAGAAAGTGGAGAAGAGCCAAGTGTGTGGGGGCTGGGATTCCTGAGGTGTGCAAACAACTCTAGGATGAGTGCTGGAATTAATGTATTATTAGGTGATTTAAAAAATAGTAATCCTGTCTTCTATGGTGTTCACACTCCCAAAATGGCTTAGCAACAGATAAGAAAATATAACAAAGTTTATATAGAGCAAGAACATTGAAGTAAGAGCAGCAGGCTGCACAGATGTTACTGGCCCAGATATGGAAAGAAGACAAAGTTCCCACTAGAGTGGCATGCTGAAATGGCTAAAATGACTGGAAGAGGCAGAAATCAGGAAGACCAAAACTTTAACAAGGAATGGGGGAAATTTATAACTTACCTTAAGGACCATTGTAAACAGGTAAAATTGTTAGTAGGATTGGAGTATCACTTGTAGCTTAAGGTTGAATTCTGGACATAACGGAAGAGGTATTTGGATTATCATAAAAGAAGCGGGAGGAAAGGATTAATAACAGGGCCCATAAAGAGGAGGATGGAAGTCCTTGGAATCTTGTTGTTATGATATAGTTCTGTAAGATTTTAATTTGAAAAACCAAATAAATTTTATAAAAAATAAAGTAAGAGCAGCAGATGTAGTGTGATAAAATTGAAAGAATACAGGCACAGTGTCGTAAAATTATTACAAACCAAACTGGGATTGAACTCAGTTTTTAAGGCTCTTGTAAACATCATGGTTTCATGCTTATCTCCCACAGCTGGAGGGGGGGGGGAGGTGTATGAGTGAACACCCGGAAGTCCCTGTCCATGGTACTTACTGTCATTAAAGGTCTTAGCAGTAGACCAGAGAAGAGCACCAGGGTTAAGGTTCAGGCAGGTACAGATGAGTGTGGATGGTCCTTCAGGTAGCTAGTTCCAAACCATACAGGGCTTCTCAGATTACTACTGCCCTGCTGAAGCTAAGGAGGTCTTGGTCTGGTCAGTGCCTGGGTGGCTGACGATTGCTTTGGGTTTCATGATGGGGAAAATGAGCTATAACTGAGTAATAAAGTAACATTTCACTTCTGCTTGCCAAGTCCAGGTTTTCAGCACTTCCTGCCTCGGGTGAAGCAGATGAACTTGGTTCTTTGCTCGAGATTCACAGCCCATGTGCCGGAGTTTCTTTAGGAAGGATCCCGAGACTCTGGAATGTGCAAGTGCCCCACTGACTCAGGTTGCAATCCTTTATAAAACCCGCTAACTCTCATCACTAGGGCATACTGCTGAGTTTCTTTTTTTTATATAATAATTTTTATTAACCGACCGATCAAATCAAATCACATCACATTAATTCCGAATTACAAAGCTGAATTTTAAATTTTTTGTTGGGGGGACCCATATTTCAAGTTCCGAAGGGGATTCCAATCATCTTCTTGCTGCTGCGTTAATATACACAAATCTATCCAAATAATATTCATAATTCTATCCAGTCCTATCTTGCTGTTCTCACATCTCATCTTGTTCGTATATTTTTCTTTTTTCCTTTATGATCTCTTCTGATAATCTCCTTAAGCAGGTAAACACCAGTTATAATCCTGTGTGAATTTTCCATTCGTCCAATCTTCATGTCGAGATGGTTTCCATATATCATCACTTTCATAAATAAAAGCACTCTTTCCATCATCAGTCTCGCAAATCTGTCGCCTTCTTTAGTCCCTCCTCCTCCCAGACATAAGTCTTTCGACAGAACTTGCTAAAATGGCGACGCTATTTTTTGCTGCATCATTCCAAAGCTCTTATACTTTCCACGGTCTCCTTAAACCATGCTTTGGTTAGAAAATTATCTCCACACAGTCTTAAATCCTCAGCTTAAGTCATTTAAACGGCATTTGTGACTGGGGGGGGGGGGGATTCGTGGTTAATCACATAGAGAAAAGAAAGGAAAGTCCCCCCCCCATCCAGTCCCGTTGCCAAACATACTGAGCCTTGGTGTGTCTTCTCATGATTTATGAGTTCCTCCGACCCGTCTTGTTTCTCAGAGATCTCTTCGGTTAGCAGTGTTTACTCCGCGTTCTTCCTTGAAATATGTGCATTAGCTTCCTCCTAATTGTTTCTTTTGAAGTTGCTGCAGCTAGAGGCGCGAACCAGAGACAGCGTCCAGGAGCGCCGAAATCCACACAAGGGCTTTCTGCCTAGTGCCCCCACCCCCTCAAATTCGGGGGTGGTATAGGGCACAGCAGGCAAGGGCAGTCGTCCCCCCCACGCTTGGGGGGGCCGGGAGGCTGTTTACTGCCATCACAGCCTCTTAATTACCTCGTGTGGGTCAGAGAGATGTTATTGTCAGCCATCTTCTGATGCGCCCCTAGTGGCCCCCCCATACCGCTGAGTTTCAATCTTCTGAGCCAAGCAGATGGAAGAGACAGCTATGCTTTAATGCGCCACCAGGGGGAAGTCTAAGATCCTGCTTCTGAATTCTATCAGAAGAGCTTGGCTACAAGGCCAGGCTCATATTTTAAGGCCCATTAAAATTAGGGCAGGCTTCATTCTCATTGCAGAGTGAGTGATCTGAGAAAAAGGTGCATGGACCAGAGAGCTTCATTCAGCTGGTCGTTGGGAAGAGTGCAGAACAGTCTGTAATACCTGTACTGGGCCCTGCCAGGTGGTAGGATCCCAGCTACTAAGGCAGCCTGGAATTGCACTGTGGGAAAATGACACCCTCCCAGCACCACTGGTCCCTGGTGTGTCAGGATGAAGGGAGGCCTCTGGATCTTGTGACTGGCTCTATGTCAGAGTGAGTGAATGTAGCTCAGCCGTCATACATGTGCTTTGCATGCAATTCTCTATAGTTCACCTGCATTTAGAGCTGGGAACGCACCATTTCAAAAACCCTGCAGAGTCCCTACCAACCAGTGATGTCAACCCAAAATCGTTACATTTTATATCCCATCTTTCTTATATGGAGTTGCCACACAAAGGATTTCTTCTTTGGGCTGGTCTCTTCTTTGGGCACCAACTTTGTCTCAAACCTGCTCAGCACCACTAAGACTTTTGCATCCTGTGTTCTGCATCATGTAGACCACAGATGTGTTACAAAAGGAGGGACAACTCAGAATACTTCTGCTTGCAAATTCCTTAATGTGAACAGAGTTCCAGAGCCCCCTCCCATCCAGACTTCTCTGGTTCGGCTCATGATTTGAGCATGGAAAAAAATCCACTACTCACAGCCATTTCCCACTCTGGAACACAGGTAGATTCCTCATACTAAGCCAAGGGGAGGGGAAAAAATCAATCTAGCTCAGTATTTGACTATGGTTATCTCCCGCTTGGACTACTGCAGGGGTCAGCAAACTTTTTCATCAGGGGACTGGTCCACTGTCCCTCAGACCTTGTGGGGGGCCGGACTATATTTTTTGGGGGGGAACGAATTCATGTGCCCAACAAATAACCCAGAGATGCATTTTAAATAAAAGGACACATTCTACTCATGTAAAAACACGCTGATTCCCGGACCACCCGTGGGCCGGATTTAGAAGGCGATGGAGCTGGATCCGGCCCCCAGGCCTTAGTTTGCCTACCCATGGACTACTGCAATGCACTCTACGTGGGGCTACCTTTGAAGGTGGCCCAGAAACTACAACTAATCCAGAATGTAGCAGCTAGACTGGTGACTGGGAGCAGTTGTCAAGACCACATTACACCGGTCCTGAAAGACCTGCATTGGCGCCCAGTACATTTCTGAGCACAATTCAAAGTGTGGTGGTGGTGATGACCTTTAAAGCCCTAAATGACCTCGGCCCAGTATATCTGAAGGAGTGTCTCCACGCCCATCGTTCTGCCCGGACACTTAGGTCCAGCGCCGAGGGCCTTCTGGCGGTTCCCTCATTGCGAGAATCAGTGCTACAGGGAACCAGGCAGAGGGCCTTCTCGGTAGTGGTGCCCGCCCTGTGGAACGCTCTCCTATCAGATGTCAAGGAAATAAACAACTATCTGACTTTTAGAAGACATCCGAAGACAGCCCTGTTTAGGGAAGTTTTTAATGTTATATTGCTTTATTATTAATAATATTAATATTAATTAGTAGTAGTAGTAATAATACTCCGTTGGGAGCTGCCCAGAGTAGTTGGGGAAAGGAGAGGCCTCCCTCCAGAGAGGCCTCCCTCCATCCAGGCGCACCAGGGACCAGTGATTCTGGGAGGGTATAATTTCTTCCCTGGATGTTGACCTTCCACTTTACCAAACAGGTTTACTGGGTCTATATATTTGAAATGCGGTTTTGTGGAATTTAGACTGACGCCCAGAAGTAGCAATTTCCATCACAAAGAAACCCTTACATGTTTTTTCTTTCATCACCAGTTCAGTTCACTTCCTTGTTTTTAGAATGTCTTTTCCAGCTATTGCAAAGTTGTGCAATAGCAGGAAAAATCGTTTCCAAAAAAACCCATGCATTGTTATGCTACTCCTTGTTGTTGTGCAGTTTGCAGAATAGGAAGAATTTTTGAAAAACTGAAAATCCCGGGGGCAGGGAGGACAGAATGGTGACTTAATACAAGGGGGGAGGAAACCTCCAGTCCTCCAGATGTTGCATAACAACTCACATCATCCCTGACCTTTTGCTGTGGTGGCTGGAGCTGATGGGAGTTGGTAGCCCAATAACATCACGAAGCCTAGTGGTTCTCTCTCTCTCTCTCTCTCTCTCTCTCTCTCTCTCTCTCTCTTTCACACACACACACACACACACACACACACACGCGTCAAAGGAAATATCTACTTTTCAAGTGCAATGTTAAAATAGGCAAAGGGTGCCCCCTAGTTCAAGTCCTGAAGCCAATGATTGTGTATTTCAAAAAACAATAATATAAATAAATCTTCATTCCAGATACAATTGCTTTTCTGCTATAAGGCTTTTGGAGGGGCAATATTTGCTTCAAGCAAATGGCTCGTGGCTATGTTTTCTTTAGTGCTAGGTCAGTGCACATGCCTGCAGTCCGTTCTGACATTCACAGTTCCTGCCCGAAGAAAAATAGAGCAGTGCTAAGAGAACCCCATTTTTCTCTCCTACTCTCAAGCATGTCTCATTCCAGCCTTAATCTCACCTGCTGGTGCTGTTGTGAGCCAAAGGACTTGGGTGCAAAAAACGTGAGCCTCTGGTCTCCACTTGAGAGTCCTTTTGTAGATTTGTTTCCTTGGCTTCAGACAGTGGAGGAAAAGTCCTGTGTTTTTCTTCACTGTGGTGGAGTAATGAGGTAGCTAATGTAGCAATCCAAACTTGTTGGTTTGCTCTCAATGAAACCAAGTTTGAAAAGCGAAGGCTCTTGGGTGCGGCTCCAGCCAGCCTGCCAAACCAGTCTTGGAGCTGGCAGGCAAAATAAAGGCAGGTGGGATAGCCTAGTTAGCTCCAGTCAAAATCAGCATGAAGGGTCTTTATCTTGAACTGTGTCAGTATCTTGAATAGCTCAGGCTCCTTGACTAAAGTTGCCTCATTTGGTTAATTATTGCATAACCTCGACAGAATAGATCTTACTGATTTAGTACAAGGGTGGGGGTTCTGTAGCCCAACTATTGCTTGACTCCCAGCTCCCAGCAGCCTCAACCTGCATGAAATCTTGCTGCTCCAAATTTACAGAGCCACCAAAAGGCAGAGTAGAAGGGGGGGGGAGGGAAACCCAAGATGGGCCAGATACCAAATTCACAGCCCTGCCAGTCTTAACACCATTCTTGCAGAAGAGGGATACACCATCCATTTCTGTCCTGTGGGTTCTTAGGAACATTTCCTATGGACAGGTGCTCCAGGACAGGTGCAGTTAGTCTCTGGTTTCTTCTCAGGGAGGGAGTTTTGTAAGCCTCCCACAGTCTATTCCAAGGTGTGCCCCTTTCTTCCTCTCCTTTGTGCCATCAGAGCAGTGGGGGAGGAGAAGGGATGGTCTTGGAGCCAGAATAAGGGGGCCTCTGAGGGTGGGTCTCCTTGAGTGGGCAGAAGTGGGCCCCTGTTTCTTTCTACCCCCTGCCCCCAGTGCAGGTGCTCAACACCATAGGAGACAGCTGCCCAGCAGCGGCGGAGAATCATAAAACCAAGGGCCCAGAACTCACCCCCCCCCAACTGATCAGTATTCAGAAGGGCCCAAGAGCATCTGACCAGCACAATCTACATGAGTAAAGCTGACCGAAAGTCCAGAGGTAGCATTATTATCAGTTTACGATGGGGTGGAAGGTTCGCAGGCTATGAAGGACTTGCTCACAAATTTATTGACAGCTGCATGAATTATTCTAGCCAAGAAGTGGAAGGGGCAAGCAGAATACAAAATGGAAGAATGGTTTAAAGGGGTGTGGGATATAGCTATTAATGATAAATTAACATGTGCCATTAAGGTAAGACAGGGAATACGCAGGAGAAATGATTTTGAGGAGATATGGAGGGTGTTTGTAGAATTTGTACTGTTAAAACAGAAAGGGGCCAAACCATCGCAAGAGGTGTTGAAATTTTGGGAGGGTGGATAGTTAACAATGGAATGGTTTCAGTGGTGAGGTGCACATTTTTATTCTTATTTATTTATGATTATGACTTTGTCAAAATAAAATAATAAATAAAATAAAAATGAACAACCTACATGAATTCATTGGCAGAGGCAGATGGTCAAGTGTCTTGCTTAGCAGAGAGGGAGATCGGCTGTATCCTGTGGCCCCCGGGCTACCCTGCCAAGGCTCATAAGATTGTGCCTTGAGGTTTTTTGCAATGTTTTGTGCTTGTTTTCCCCTCTCTTCCCCCTTATCCACATCTGAAGCAAAACGTGAAAGGTGCAGCTATTGAGACCCACGCACTTGTTAGCCTTGACCTGCCAGCTGGAAAACAATCTTCAGCTAGATCAATAGACTCCCGTTTTTTAATGAGCATTTCTTATCGAGAATTTGAGGTGGAGCCCTCGACTGTGGCTGCTATGGCCCAGTGACCTTAAAATTAATGACGAAATGATCGCTTGTAGACTGTTTATTGTAAATGAAATTACGCGTTTGCATAATGAAGGGGAGGGGATGGGATGGGACAAAACCCAAGTGGGCGGGCGGCTTTCTGGAGTATCGGGGTGATTACTCACTCCCTAGAAGGCGGCTAGGATTAGACCGAGGTTGGATGGAAGCAGGAATCTGATGAGGGAGGTAGAAAAGAGAAGGAAGGAAGGTGGAATGCAAGAGAGAACATCTGCAGGACAAGAGACCAGAAAGCTAGATCAATGAGGGAAATAGCAGAGGGTAAGGAACAAGGGAACAAGGTGGGGAGTAGAAGGCTCCATGAAATATCTCTAGAAGGCAGAGGTTGAAGACAGCACCATACACCCGACTGCTGCTGGAACATCTGGTTGCTTTTGATCTTGCTATATATGGATTCTCAGTTCATGAAGACTCCATAGTGTGAGACTCTCTTCCTACTCTTTCCCCCACTCATACTTCCAAAGGGGAGAGCTTTATTGCACCAGAAGAGTGTGAAGAGAGGTGGACTTCTCTGTTCGGGACTAGTTACTAACACTCAAAAGTCCTTTTGGAATCAGACTGGCCCGAAAAGTGTCCAGAGATACAACGGATAAGCCTTTGCCTCTCCTCCCGGTGTGATTTTCCCTACCCTACGCTGCAGAGATGGATCAATTGTTGGAGGTCAAGATCGGCTGCTTGGCAGGTCTGCTGGTGGTCACGCTCATTTGTGGCCTCATCCCGGCGCAAGTTAGATGGTTCCAGAGCAACATGGCCAGAGGTGAGCAGTTGATGGAAGGGATTGGAGTGGGTATGGCCTGATCTTCAGAGGGGCTGGATGCAATGTGACTATCAGAACTTGTGCAGGAGTGCAAATGTTGTGCTGTGCAACATCAGGAAGTCTTTATTGTTAACTCTCTAGGTGGCTATATATTGAGGTGGGTCCCTCTTTACCACTCTTGATCTTTCTGGTGAATCAATGCTCACATGTTCCTTTTACAGATTAGTGTTCCTTCTACTTCCACACCCAGAATAAGTAAACAGGGCTTAAGTGAGCTGAACAAGCAAATTAGCTCTGTTAAAAAACATTACATTTCATTGGGCAAAAAAGCTCTATCCATGGTGCTGGAACTCAAAGGGTGCTTTACACCTCCAGATTATCTCTTGATGTGGTGGATCTTGAACTCTTGAGCATGCACTGAATTCTAAGCATGCAGGTGTTACTCTCCTTTATTAGTAGTATTAGTATTGATTAGTATCCTGCCTTTCAGGAACCAAATCTATGCAAGTGACTTACATTAAGATATATATTTTCAAGACATGGATTGGCAGCCTCTACATCTGACATAATCCTTCCTATTCCACCCTGCATCTCTTCTAGGGAAGCATCGGCGCATCCTCAGTGTCATAGGCTGTTTTGCAGCCGGAGTGTTCCTTGGGGCCTGCATTATGCACATGGTGGCCGACGCACTGGGAGACATCCAGGAGGAACTAAAAAAGAGACGGCAGCAGGTGAGTGCCATCGCAGCAGTCTCTTAAATCTGAATTCCACTGCAATGAATTTGGATGGGCCACAGCTTGGTGGAACAACATCTGCTTTATATGCAGAAAGTCTGAGCTTCAGTCCAAAGCATCTTCAGTTAAAACAAGATCATGGGAGATACCACTGTCTGAGACCCTGGAGGGTCACTGCCAGTCAGAGCAGACCAGTGTTCTTCAACCTTGAGTCCCTATATGTTGTTGGACCACAACTCCTCTTATTCTCATCCAGCTTAGCCAAGGTTGAGCATTAGGGGAGACAATACTGGACAAATGTAAACCAGTATCCCGGCTCTGACCTTGGCTGAATTGTACAACCGGACTTCAGTGTTTCATGCTTTAGTAAATAACTGTTTGGACCAATGTACATGGGGTGGTCTTTGAAGATGGTATGGAATTGTTGGCCCAGAACATGGTACCAAAAATCTGAATGGAACTGGCCATTATCAATATATTCCACAAGTTTTGTTTGGGTTGGTTTTTTTCCTTTCACCGCTTCATCTGACTTGTCCAGTTTGAAATACTGGGTTTTTTCTAAGCTATAAAGCTGGCTTAAGACCTAAAAAATCACATCTTCCTAGATGTACCTCCCTTTATCATAAGGTCATGAATAGAGTCCCTTTTTCTAAAAGTGCCTGCACACTATGAAGTGAACTACTGTCCATGAACACTTATGTCAGGGGTTCCTAAACTGTGATCCAAGGACCACCCATGGTCCACGAGCTTCATTCAGGTGCTTCATGGTGTATCTGTAAAAATACAATCAGAAATCACAGCACACTGTAACTGCTGCAACAGGCAGAAAAATCATTAAGTAGTCCATCAAGACCACCAGCAATTTTCAAGTGGTCCAAGGAGGGGAAAGTTTGGGAACCACGAGCTTATGCCATAATAAATTTAAGACTCACTCATTTTGCTACAAGAGATTAACACAGCCACCCCTTTGGAAATTGTTCTAATAATTAGGGGTACTGTTGCACTGGGATTGGGAAAGCAGCAACAAGAGGCCTTAGAATCAATCAATCAATCAATCAATATTGTTTGTGACATGCAAAAGAAGTTCATGGTTCCAAAATTTGACAGATCTTCAAGATCTGAGCTCCCGCTGCTTGAATAGAGAGGAAACGTGATTCCACCACCATGATAGCCAATGACTGAACCATTCTTATTCCCAAAATGTTTCCAACTCAGCTGTTTGTTTCTTTCTTTTCCCCCAGGGAGCTTCTATGCATAAGCAGAACAGCACCTCTGAAGGTGATGATGATTCTGAGGTATGTTTCCCCTTGTTGTTCTCCCACCTTTGAGATTGCTGATCAGGTTAGCTTTGGATAGGCACAAACTGCCATTGTGATCAATATGGATTATTTATTTTGGTACCTTGGGTATTGGCAGGGGAGCTGAAAAAGCTTTTTATCCATCTTCTGACTCTCCTCCAGGGAATTGGGCTGTGAATTTGGGTGCAGGATCCACACAGTCAAGGATTTTGTTTTCTAGTCAGCTGCAAATTTTGCAAGAGTGTATGGGGGTGAGATGGTTGATTAAGATCTCAGGCTTGGCCTATGCATATTTCACAATCTTTTAATGACTGTTCTAATCTTGCTTGGCTCAGGTCTTGGTTTTGGTTACTTATTTAAGGATCTGTGAACAGAACCATAACAAACCTTTTAAAACACCTACCTTGACTGTTCCACTCTCTTGTAAAATTTTGTTATGGTTGTAGTTGTGTTTGCATTTTTGCATTTTTGAAATTAATTGCTTCCTGCTGTGAGGAGTTTCTTAAAGCTGCAGAGCAAGATACAAAGGCATATCTGTCTGTCTGTCTATCCATCTATGAAGAAAATAGAATGGGGATGCAGGTGGCGCTGTGGTCTAAACCATGGAGCCTCTTGGGCTTGCTGATCAGAAGGTTGGCAGTTCAAATCCGTGCGATGGGGTAAGCTCCCATCACTCTGTCCCAGCTCCTGCCAACCTAGCAGTTAAAAAGCACGCCAGTTCAAGTAGATAAATAGGTACCGCTGCAGTGGATAGGTAAATGGCGTTTCCATGCACTCTGGTTTTTGTCATGGTATTCCTTTGCACCAGGAGCAGTTTAGTCATGCTAGCCACGTGGCCTGGAAAGCTGCCTGTGGACAAACGCCGGCTCCCTTGGCCTGAAAGCAAGATGAGCACCGTGGACCCATAGTCGCTTTTGAATGGACTTAACCATAAGCTCCTTCTTATTAATGTGGGGGGGATATAAAGTCAATGGAATAAAATAGTTCCCATCTTGTGGATACAGTGGTACCTCTAGTTACAAACTTAATTCATTCTGGAGGGCCGTTCTTAACCTGAAACTGTTCCCTCGGCCTGAAAGTGAGATGAGCGCCACACCCCATACTCACTTTTGCCTGGACTTAACCGTCTAGGGGTCCTATTACATTTTTACCTGGCTCACAGGGTTGTTGCATAGATAGATAGATGATTGATAGATGATAGATAGATAGATAGATAGATAGATAGATAGATAGATGATACCTTCATTCATCCAAAGATCACAAGGTGGTTCACAACGTATTATTAGGGTTATATGGAAAGGGAGAAAAGCCATGTATGCCACCTTGAGCTCTTTGAGAGAAGGAATGGATACAAATGTGAAAAACAAATTTTAAAAAGAGGTGCTGTTGTGTACCTGATGGTGGGAACATAGCCAGTTCCGATACATTACCAAATGGTGAGCTGTAATGCATTTTATTGTATTGTATTGTATTTTACTATTTATTTATATTTTTATTGCATTTATATCCCACTTTTCTTCCAAAGAGCTTAGGGTGGTGTATGTTTTTATCCCCCCCCCCCCCCAGCTCTCCATTTTATCATTACAAGAATTCTGTGAGCTTGGTTAGGCTGACAGACTGTCTCTAGACTTTTTGCCCAAGTGTGGATTTGAACTCTGGTCTCCCAGTCCCACACGCTGCACTGCCCTGCTTCTGTTTTTCACACCTCTCTTTCCAAACTCAAGTACTGTGAGCACCTTTTTTCCCTCCCTTCTGGGAGGCGGTGTTGCAATCGAAGACTAAGAAACCTGCCGAGACAACCTCAATCCAGTTGAGAAATCCTATGGTGGCCCTTGATTGCCACCTGGTGGTGCAATTTTAATTTAAAAAAACCCAGGAACCATGGAAAGCTCTTTGAAGACCTGAGCACCTCTTAGGTTTAGATAAAGTCCCTAGGTAAATGAACAGAAGAGCAATAAACAACACCTGGTTTTATAAAACACACATCTGCAGAAACTGCACCATGAATGGAATACATAGCTTCCAGAACTATTTGCTCTGGGGTATGTAAGGATGTTGTTTGAGAAATAACATGTTCAAAGACTCACTGCGTTTGCAAAGTTAATTGTGCAGCTTGCTAAACTGTAGCAGGAGAGCAATAGGTGGGATGAAGAGTATTTTCATCTACTGAGCTCCAGGCAAAAGAGGGGGGAAAGAGAACATTGATGCAACAGTTGCCCTTCAATACTGGAATTTGCTATTTTGTATAAAGTTCATTTTTTTGTGGTTTTTAATTATTTTATTTCTGTACTTATGTGTATTTTTGAGATTTATTGTTGCTTATGTTACTTAAAATGTGGCTTTTAAAGTATTAGCAGTTGCAGCTATGCAACACTTGCATTTTTAATATGGGGTTTTTTTTGGGGGGGGGATATGTGAGTCACTTTAAGATCTCTGTTGAAATTAAAAGTTGTAAGCAACATAAATATGCAAGCAAGCAGACCTGGGCCCCATCTGCACTACACATATAAAGCGCTATCGGGAGTTCCCTGGAAATATGTTTGATTGTTAAACCCAGGGCTTGGTCCCCTGTGAGGTGAGGCAGCTGTCTTGGGCTGTGGAAGCTCAAGAGAAGGCTCCCCACCCTACAGGGGTCCCACCAACCGAGCCACCTCTTCTGCCGATCTTGCCAAAATATTGTAAGATCTTGCTGAAATCACATGAGAACCCACCAATATCTCACAAGATCTTGTCAGAACTTGCCAACCACACAACCCAGGTAAAGGAGGCAGGGCTGTGGTGGCGCAGTGGGTCAGCACATTCTCATTTTGCCTCAGGCAGTGAACAGTGGCATGCCCCCTGGTTCATACCACTTTGGGAATTTTATTTTATTTTATTTTATTTTTTATACCGCCCTATACTTGGGAGTCTCAGGGCAGTTTACAGAATAAAAGCAAGATATAAAACCACAAAGTACATAACAAAAATAAAAAAGAACAACTCAATAGTGCTCCCCCCCAAAAAAAAATTTTCAAAAGGGCATAGGAGGTCAATCAGATCAACCAAAGGCCTGGTTAAAAAGGAACGTATTTGCCTGATGCCTAAAGGTGTATAATGAAGACGGGGAGAGGGTTTTACAACCTCATCTGGTCCATCCAGTGAAGCTGAATGTTGGAAGATGCAGAATAGGCCAAAAAAAAAAAAAAAGTATTCACATAGTATTTATTTTATTTTATTTATTTATATATTGAATTTATATACCGGCAGTTCACAGAATAAAATCAATATATAAAACCACAAAATACATAATGAAAATAAAAAGAACAACCCAATAGCCCTTCCCTCCCCATCCCAGCCACAAAAACACAAACACATTTTAAAAGGGCTTACGATGTAAATCAGATCAACCAAAGGCCTGGTTAAAAAGGAATGTTTCTCCCTGTGGAGAGCATTCCACAGATGGGGAGCCACTTTGGAAAAGGCCCGTTCTCGTGTTGCCACCTTCCAGTCCTCTCGAGGAGGAGGCAGACGAAGGAGGACCTCAGAAGATGATCTCAGGGTCTGGGTAGGTTCATATGGAAAGAGGTGGTCCTTGAAGTATTGCAGTACTGAGCCGTTTACTGTAGTTCTGTGCATAGCTGTCAACTTTTCCCTTTTCTTGCAAGGAATACTATTCGGAATAAGGGAATTTCCCTTTAAAAAGGGGAAACGTTGACAGCTATGGCTCTGTGGTAGCGGGGAATAGGGGTCTCCCAACAACTCTCAGCACCCATAATAAGCTACACTTCCTAGGATTATTTGAGGGAAGCCATGATTATTTAAAGGGGTATGATACTGCTTGAAATGGACACTGCAGATGGGGCCTTAACTCATGTCCAACTCTTTCTCTCCTCCCATGGCAGATGTACCCATTTGGGGAGCTCGTCATCTCAGCTGGCTTCTTCCTGGTGTTCCTCATTGAGAGTGTGGTGCTCCATTGTTGCCCCAAGGCTGTGCACTCCCACGGCGACCACAACACCGAAGAGGATCACAAGGACCCGCCAGAATCCCACAGCTCTTTCCGGGCGTTCGTGCTCTTCCTGTCGCTCTCCTTCCACTCGGTCTTTGAGGGCCTCGCCATCGGCGTCCAAAAGCAGGAGACGGCCGCCATTCAGCTTTGCCTGGCGGTGCTGATCCACAAGGCCATTGTGGTCTTCAGCCTGGCTTTGAAGTTGGTGCAGAGCGGCACGCCGGCCGGGTGGAGGTTGCTGTACTTGGTGGTGTTTGCTTTGATGTCTCCCGCTGGCATCGGCGTGGGCATCGGTGTCTCCCTTTACAACAGTGACGGGACCAGCCTGGCTCAGGCTTTGTTGGAAGGGGTGGCCGCGGGGACCTTTCTCTACGTCACCTTCCTGGAGATCCTCCCCTACGAGCTGCGCTCGCATGAAAGCCCCCTCACCAAGTTCTTCTTCATTGGACTGGGCTTCTCCATCATGGCCATCATTGCCATTTGGGCATGAAAGAGTGGCTCTTCTATGTTCTCCATGAAAGCCCATCAAAACGGCACTCTTTCCAGATCCTCCTCTATTCAGCCATGAGAGCCGTCACCTCCGGTGGTACTATGTACTAAGTGAAGGGAAATAACCAGCAACCCACATGGACGAAAATGCAAGATATATGAAGCAATGGAGCTTGAGCGACAAATACATCATTTTTAGTTTTGCTCCCTGAACTATTGGAAAGCCACAACCATCAGCACAATATCCTAGCAGCAGTGATAATTAACGCAGTCAGTAGACCTAACACAAGCAATGGCATCACTTCTTTCAATCATTGTGAAAGACTAAATGTACAGTATGTAGGGTCTACCTGCAAGGAACTCCGGAACAAGTAGGATATTGGCTAAGGGGTAAATGGGACATTTTAAAAGAGGCTGTTGGGTTTTGTGTATGTGGGTGGAAATATACACTGAGTTGTTTTGTTTTGTTTTGTTACCCTTTTGTCTGTCTTTGGGGAAGGTATGTGTGCGAAGGATGTTCCTACATGTGTGAGGAAGAGGGTGTGTGTGTGTGTGTGTGTGAGAGAGAGAGAGAGAGAGAGAGAGAGAGAGAGAGAAGGGGAATTATCCCATGTGAAGTGTGTATGTTTGATGGTGTCCTGGTTCTCACTGCTAGATGTATGTTTTGTGGATGTGGATGGAAATATATACTCAGTGTTTTGTTTTGTTTTGTTACCCTTTTGTCTGTCTTTGGGGAACGTATGTGTGCGAAGGATGTTCCTACATGTGTGAGGAAGAGTGTATGAGAGAGAGGGGGAGGAATATCCCATTGGTGTGTGTAATGTGTATGGGTTGCTCGTGCGTAAGTTGCCGCCTCTCCAGGCTTTGTTGCCTTGCTAAACCTTTCAGTCTGGGCAGCCCTTCACTTCGTGGCTGCCTCAGCCGCTAGCAGAATCCGTCAGTGGGCGTTTCTTAAATCTTTTCCAACATAAAAGTTGTTTGACACCCAGTCTCCTCCTACTCTCTCTGCGCGGAAGTCTTCTGCGCAGGGTGGGCGTGGGTAGCGGAGGACCCGTGCTCTCCCCGCTGGTGTCCGGTGAAGAGTCCTGGAGCCCTCTCGCCGATTCCCCCATCAGCCCCTCTTTTCCCCTGGTGTTGCGCTGATTAGCTTCCCCATCTGCGGAGCTGCCTCTCTCCCTGCTGGGCCCTTCTCCAGCATCATTTGAGAGCCTTCCCTCCGCCTCTAGCTCCGATGTCAGTTCCCTGACAGTGTGTGTGTGTCCTGGCTCTCACTGCTAGATGAAGAACTTAGACTTCCAGCTTAGTTTCTACCAAAGGCTTAAATGTTTAGATCAGAATGTTATGTAGGTCAGTTTTCGAGTCATAGAAACCAGTGGGTGCATAAGAGGTTAGAAATAATGGCTAAGCACAAGTGACATGCCCTCTGTGCTCTACTTTTGAAGGTGCTATTGGTGTGGCAGTTGTCCCAAATCTTGGAACTTGGCTTTCAAATGAGCCCTCATCCAAGTGATTATGCAAGGCATGCTCTTGCTGCTGCTGCTGCTGACAGCACCGCATCCTTTGAGATGGGGGTGGACTCAAGAGTCTGCTTGGCATCCAATTTATTCCCAGAAAGGAATTTAAACTTGGGATAGACAATGTTTTGGGGGCAGGGTGCTCTTCTGTCAGCCTGACAGCCCCCTACCCCACCTGCCTATGAGGCTCAGTAAGGCAGTCAGCTGGGATGGGTACTGCCACCGCTGCACACACCCCCATCCCCTACCGTCTGCTCCTCTCCAGCCTTCTTTTGCTCCCCGTGAAGCCTCCAGGCAGCGGGTGTAGAGGAGGCTTTGTGTGTGTGGCCATTTTCAATTTTGCCTGGAGTAGCAAAATGTCCTGGGCCAGCTCTGGCCAGGCCCTTCCACAGAATCCAGATCTCCATCTTCCAGCCCGCTGCATCCCTCTTCTGGATTAGACTCCTCTTGGTGTCCTGATTTCAACTGTTCCAGCTTGCTAGGAGCTTCCATGGGATCATCCAACTCTTCACCAGTTCCTCCTCAGCACCCAACTACCCCCATGTGTGTGTGTGTATGTGGAAGAAAGGTGGAGAGAAAACCCAGAAGGAAACCAGTGTCTATTCCTTCCTTCCTTCCTTCCTTCCTTCAAATCACTACACCACTCTAAAGTAGATAAGGTCCTTAACTGGGTAGTGGGCTATATGCCGGATAGATCCAGGCCCTGTGCTGTTGAGGGTGAGGGTAAGGTGAGGGTAAGGCAAAAGCAACAGACAGAAGGTCTTCTAATTGCTCAGGCCAGTCAGCTATGTAGCTCAGCAATTGTATACTTTGGCCTTAATGTACCAGGGGCACCCTTCTTAAGATTGCCATGTGCATTATTTGAAGGAGCAGGGGATGGACTAGGCCTTTGAGGTCCCTCCCAATGATACAATGCAGTGATTCGGGGCTCTCCTGCTCATTCCTAAACAGTTGTGAGGCAAGAAACCTGTTGATCTACAGCAGGGGTGACCAATTCCCGAGAGACTGCGATCTACTTTCAGAATTAAAATCTGGCAATGATCTACCCCCCTTTTGGGGGGTTCAGGTCAAAGTTTCAAAGTTGTTGAGCTTTTTTTAGGGAGGAGGACTTTCTTAGGAGGGAAGTTCCGTTTTGGGGGGAGTTAAAACCAAGGGTCTAAGGGAGAGAGACTTTCTCTCTCACAGTAATATCGCTTTGAATGAAAACAGCCACAGAGAGAAAGCTCTGTCTTCCCTTCCACTGATCACACAACAATGAGGGCGGGGCAGGAGTCCGTTACAATGACGCTAAGGAAAGGGAGCCAGAGATCGACCTGCGATCTACCAGTAGATCCCCATCGAGCTGTTGGACATCCATGATCTACACCCAACCATTAAGAGAGCTACCACTGGGATCCCAACCTACTTCTACTGTAGGCAATGTGAAGATGTTGTCATACCACAATGTAAAGGTACACAAAGCCAAGTCAGAGTGAGGGCAGGAAATATTTCCTTTACTGAAAATAAAGAGTTCCCAGACAGCACTATGCAAATGATCTGATTTGTTTACATGGAAGTTTGGATGCCCCACTTTCACATACTCAAAGAATGCATGAGAGGGTGGTGAGGGTTTAGCTCCATGTGTTTACATAAGTAAGTCTACAGAGTGCAGGCTAGCATTTGCTTTGATTTGCATTAACTTGCTGTCACCTGCCCAGTGATGTGTTAATGAAGCGTCTGTAGTAATAGCAATAACGATGACAATGAAGAAAAAGAAGGTGCTTATCAATACAGCTTAATCAAGAAAATAAATGGCTTAAGAAAAAAACTTCTGTATGCCTGAAGGACCGTCTCCACCCCCATCATTCATCCCAGTCACTGAGATCCAGCACTGAGAGCCTTCTGGCAGTTCCCTCACTGCGAGAAGTGAAGCTACAGGGAACCAGGCAGAGGGTCTTCTCCGTAGTGGCTTCCCACCCTGTGGAACGCCCTCCCATCAGCTGTCAAGGAGATGAGTAGCTATATAAACTTTAGATTACATCTGAAGTAATCTATTAGCCTTGTAAGATTTACTTCACACATCCTGCATAGGTGCCTACCAGTAGAAACAATCAGGCTGGAGGGCATTCATAACAGGGACTTCTAAATTGTGGCTTTGCAGCTATAGAACTCAATTCCTTCTGAGACTGAAAAGGCTCCATTTCTCATGTCAATTAAGCAGAACTTTACAATTTAAAAAGCACCCCTCTCCGGCTTGTAATGGCTAATATAAACTGGGGTTATAAATGGGGGCTTTGTGTACTGGGGTCTGGCTGGCTGATAGTTAATTATGTGCTGATATTTAGGCATTAGTATTATTATTATTATGGGTACATGTGACAGAGTCTTTAGTGTTATCATCCCAAACTTGTGTAAAGCTCTGGTGACACAGATTCAGCAGGCGCCTTCTGTTTCATCCTTTAAATACCTGCTGAAAACTTTTTATGCCACCAGGCTCTTGCATGCAATTAAGAAATTATGTTTCCATAATGATTAGTTTATCATCTCAGATCTTAAATTTGTACATAGTTTTATTGCGTTGTTGTAAGCAACTTTGATATTTATTTATGACACAGTGGAATATAAATAAATAAGCTCCTTTTCAAAAAGTGGCTTATAAACAAACTACTAGATTTGTAAACTGAGTAAAAGCCAAACTGGCTGGAATTTTACATCATCGGAAGTATTTTCCAAACATAAAAGAAGGCATTGCTTGTATTTCGGTTAAGGTTGTTTTAAAAAGACAAAACAACCAGAAAAGTGAGTGGAAAAGAAGCTACAAAATCAAGGAGGAAACCTATCAGATTTCACAGTTCTTTTTTCTCACAAGCTGATCCCTGGTGTTCAGCTCAGGCCTCAGAACAATAATATAGAATTTGGGGAGGAAGATGCAACCCAGCAACCCAGCGCTAGAAGTCAAGATAGAGAAGATCTCCACAGCCACCATATATTTTCCTTTGGTGCTCAGGTAGGTGGGGACAAAGGACAGCCAAACACTGCAGAAGACCAGCATGCTGAAGGTAATCAGCTTGGCTTCATTGAAAGTATCAGGTAGCTTCCTGGCCAAGAAAGCCGCAGTGAAGCTGATGATGGCCAGAAGCCCCATGTAGCCCAGGACAGTATAAAACATGGGGCCTGATCCTTCATTGCACTGCACAATGATTTGGGTAGTCTGTGAATGCATGTCAAACTCTGGGAAGGGGGGAGAGGTTGCCAACCACAGTGCACAGATGCCAGTTTGAATAAGAGTGCAAAGGATGATGACTGACACTGCCAGCCTCTTCCCCACCCATTTCCTCATCCTGTTTCCTGGCTTGGTGGCCATGAAGGCCAGAACTACAGTGATGGTTTTTGCCAACACACAAGAAACAGCCAAGGAGAAGATGATTCCAAACACTGTTTGACGGAGAAGGCAGGTCACCTTCCCAGGCTGCCCAATGAATAAGAGGGAGCAGAGAAAGCAAAGCAAGAGGGAAATGAGGAGGGCACAGGTGATGTTCCAGTTGTTGGCCTTGACAATGGGAGTCTCCTGGTGTTGAATGAAGATCCACATTACCACTAGTGTGATCAGAAAAAGGGAAAGTGCAAATGAAGCCAGAATTATTCCCAAGGTCTCTCCATATGATAGAAAACTTATAGTTTTAGCGATACAGCCATCCTGATTTCTATTTGGATGTTGATCCTCAGGGCACTTGTTACAGTGGTCTGCATCTGAAAGTTATAAATCTTAATCATTCAAAATGTGCATGGATCTTCTTTAGCATCAACTGTTTCATGGTGTGGCATGAAATATGGCCTTGGTAACATTTCTCTTGGACAAGAAGAACAGAATCCCTTCCCCTTTTTTGATGATAATGTGATAAAACAAAGGAATCCCCTTTCTAAGGAACACCCTTTCTAAGGACTATCTGCAATGGCCCATTCACGCATCAGAGTCATGGGCCTTTGAGAACATTTATTTTACAGACACCTGGATTAGCATTCCCCATGTAACTTTGCAGTCTCTACTTACCTGTCAAGGCTGAAATCATGCCTTCAGAGCACTGAGGACAATCATAACAACAAATCTGTTCCCCCTGACGTGCCATCTTGCTTTGTCCAGGGTGGCAACTCTCAACACATGTGGATTGTGGTGTGATCTAAGAATATCCAGAAAGAAAGAATTTAAAGTATAAACAATTGGTATTGAACTGCCAGCCCACAGGGCTACTGAAGGCCTAACGTGAATGTATAAAGATTACCCAGTCCTTACACCTCCTCATCCCCTCTCCTGGATTTCTGCAGATTCCTCCTGAAATACCTGCATGGAACCAGAACAGGTTGGACTTTACACTATTCTGTGTGGAACCAGGCGCAGGCAGGATTTGTTCAGAATCTATTGTTCTGGAGAATATCTGTGTTTCCCACCTGGTTAAACTTGTGATTCCACACAACAGCACTTCTATTGATGGTGAACTTCTTTCCTTCAGGAGCCTTTGGATCAAGTCTTCCAACACGAACTCTGTGTATGGACAAATTGGGGAATGTGACAGTATTGACGATATCATATCCTGTTGCCCAGTCTCCATTTTCATCAAAAAAAAATTCTTCTCCAGCACTGTTGTTGAAACGGATGTGTTTCAGGAAGGAGTGAAGCTACGTAGATTGGAGAAGAAAAGGACATGTTACTGCCAATTGCAGTAACAGTTACTGTGTTTTACCTGGAATTTACTTTCTTGTTTGGGGGCTTGTAGACACTTCCACTTGTCCCATTCCTTGAAAGTGTGGGTCTGTGTGTTTCCACTTGACCTACATTTCCTAGGCAAGGGACGTGGGTGGTGCTGTGGTCTAAACCATGGAGCCTCTTGGGCTAGCCAATCAGAAGGTCGGCGGTTTGAATCCCCGTGACGGAGCAAGCTCCCGTTGCTCTGTCCCAGCTCCTGCCAACCTAGCAGTTCGAAAGCATGCCAGTGCAAGTAGATAAATAGGTACCGTTGTGGTGGGAAGGTAAATGGTGTTTCCATGCACTCTGGTTTTTGTCATGGTATTCCTTTGCACCAGAAGCAGTTTAGTCATGCTAGCCACGTGGCCTGGAAAGCTGTCTGTGGACAAATGCCGGCTCCCTTGGCCTGAAAGCGAGATGAGCGCCATAGGCCCATAGTTGCTTGTGACCAAACTTAACCATCCTGGGGTCCTTTACCTTTACCTTACACTTCCTAGGCACAGATCTGAGCCATTCTCCTCTTGCCTCACTTCCTTCCCAGGGAAAACCCACTTTTTGTTTTGTTCCAGTTGAGGGCAAAGGAAGGGTTTTCCCCCGGGGAAAGCAGCAGAACAGCAGCGGGACAAGAAGAAGTGTGGAAAATCACTTTGTCACTCTAATATCATACTCAACTAGCTCCTTCTTACTATTGTGTGGGGGATATAGAGTCAACGGAATAAAATATTTTCTCAATTTTCATGGTTGCCATAACGAGATATGAGGCCCGTGTTGAATATGCTTTGTTCATAACCTTTATAACCTCCCTGAACTTTGTCAGTTCCAGATGCCTTGGACTTCAGGTCACATCATTCCTGACCGTTGGTCATTTTGGCTGGTGCAAAAAGGAAACTGTAGTCAACAACATTTGAGGAATACCAGGTTGGGGAAAGCTAGCAGAGAACATTTCAAAATTCTGCGAAGAAACACAGCATCTTAAATCAATATGGTTCATCAGGGCAACCTCAGTATTTGTATATGTATGTGTGTTGTTGCTGAATCAAACTCAGTCAATTGCTAAGTAATAAACCTGAATCCAGCATTCATGGTCATATATTAAGTAGAGGTGGGCATGAGTTTCCTACCTGCCATGGGTAAACATTTGAGCCATTTCTTGTGGCACCATTGAGCGTTGCCTTCTGCCTAGATCTTGATGAAAACATGGCGTGGAGAGCATGTGCAACAGCGTAAACTGCATTGTAAATACTGTAGCTCTGACCAGACATTCCCATTTCAAAAACCAATCCAGAGAGGCTCTTCAAGGTTTCTTTTCCAGTACAGTTTTTTATGTCTTCTGCAACAATGCCCAGTGAGGGAAATGCACACATAAATGAGACAGACCAGAAATGATGGATGTAATAAAGTGTAGATTGATTAGGATGTACAGTCTCAAGGAACTCTTCATATTTTGCCATATAATTTGTGTGGCATGTGAAGGACAAGGTGCCATTGAAGGTTTTTGGTGTGAATGCGTACTTAACCGGCACAGTTGTGAAATCCCACTGAGCTGTTATGATCCAAACCCTCTCTTCTGGCTTCCTTTCAAGAAATTCATGCAGAAATAGAACCATTCGTAAGCTCTCCATAGTCCGTGACTCCCCGTGAACGAGAATCACATTGGTTACAGCCGAAAAGAGAACTGTGCTTATTCTCACCAAGTTCTTATCTGTTAGCAGTGCTTCATCAAAGACCTTCTTCGGCGTTGGAATAATTTCCTTAAAAGCCACACAAATATTGTTCTGGTACAGCCAAGGCATGAGAGTCCTCAACAGTATTTCTCCAATGTCGTCATCTGAAATAATAAGGCCAATCCAAGTCCATCCAAAATGCTGAAGCAGCTGAACAATCCCAACATACTGAGGACGTTCATTTGGCATCATCCGATAGACAGAAGGGAACTGTGTTTTATCGCTCAGTGCAGGGTTGAAGGATTTATAGCTGAGCTGAAAAACAGGAGCAACAATTTTTTTTTAGACCTAACCAAAAATTCAGATTTTTCCTTTGGTGATCTGGCAGGAAGACCGTTTAGGTCATTTTATATTTGATACAAATACTGCAGGGACTATATAAACTCTCCAATACCACAAACTCGACATGATTACTGAGCTGATTAAAGAAACACATAAATTAGGTGGGCCGGGGGGAGAGGGAGAGAGGGAGAGGGAGAGCATATATACATGCCGACACTTTTATACAGGACATATTTTAAAAAGAAAAGTTAACAAAAGGCTTCCAGTTTTATTCCTTGTTATTTATTAAATTTTTATACTACACTTCATCCAAGATAAAAACACAAGATAAAAACACAAAAATATGTACCATGATGACAAACAAAAGCAATACCCACCCCAGTTTTAAAGGCTGTAGGTTGTTTAATTAGCTAAATGCCTGGGAGAAGAGGAATGTTTTCGCCTGGTGCCTAAAGATATGTAATGAAGGCATCAGGCAAGACTCCTTGGGGAGAACATTTCACAAGAAGGGAGACACCACAGAAAAGGCCCATTCTCGTGTTGCCACCTGTCAAACGTATCCTGGGGAGGCACATTACAAAGGCCCTCAGATTATGAGCTCAGGGTTTGTGTCAGTTCAAAGAGGCAGTCCTTGAGGTATTGCGGTTCTGAGCCATTTAAGGTTTTATAGGTCAAAACCAGCACCTTGAGTTCGGCCTGGAGACTAATTTGCAGCCAGTGCAGTTGGGCCAGAATTGGTGTCAAACTGTCTTGCCCCATATGTGAAAAGAGCATTGTGAACCTGACTTTTTATATAAAAATTCAGAATATTTCTTATTGCAACTTACTATTCATTATTATAACTTAGGGAGAAAATGTTAAACTGGAGGGGGAATGGAGAAGGAAGAAAATGAGGGCAGATTAACTGGACTGATTAAATCCAGGGTTGTTCTGGCCTTTAATGAGATGGTGCTGGCCAAACCACTCAAAATGGCTTCTGATGTCACAGTGTACATTTCCTCCTGTTCATTCACGTGGGTTGATAGTGAGGCCTTCTGGAACCCAGCTTCTATTGCATGCATTTCCCCATAGGGTCAAGTTAGTCCCTGTGTTAAACACAAGGAAGGTCATGGGTACACAAATGTGCTTGTTCCACTAAATACTCCTACTGGTTGCACCTATGTATACAGTACACACCTGCGGCATCTTATAGATATTTAAGATGTGGGGCATCTGCTTAGAGTTATGAGAGGTGAGCCCTCCAATGATGGCCATTAGTTTGTATGTCTTGTCACAGATGTAGTTAATGGGGTTCCCCTGATTTTGGAAAAGGAGTTCCATAGTCCCAGCACAGGATCCCACTTCATTGAGAACAGTAGGAGTGATGATGGATGATAATGTTGTGTTAGGCAAGAGGTGGTCGTTATTGTTGATCTCATTCATGGCCAAAATAAAGGCAAGGACTTGATGGTAGTAATTGTGTATTATACTGCAATGATATTTCAATATAGACTTAGGGCTGTTGCATATCCAATGATTTAATGTACAGAGTGGACTTATTGACCATTGGAAGCTGTTCCTGAACTACAGTGGTACCTCAGGTTAAGTACTTAATTCGTTCTGGAGGTCCGTTCTTAACCTGAAACTGTTCTTAACCTGAGGTACCACTTTAGCTAATGGGGCCTCCTGCTGCCACCACGCCGCCGGAGCACGATTTCTGTTCTCATCCTGAAGCAAAATTCTTAACCCGAGGTACTATTTCTGGGTTAGCGGAGTCTGTAACCTGAAGCGTATGTAACCTGAGGTACCACTGTACCAGGCACAGGGTTGTTCTGTGGAAATTATCTCTATAAGTTAGGGTTGCCATATTTCAAAGAGTGAAAATCCAGACACAAAAGTTGTTGTGCCCCAGATGTATGGCAGCCCTAAAGGTAAAGGGACACCTGACCATTAGGTCCAGTCATGGATGACTCTGGGGTTGCGGTGCTCATCTTGCTTTACTGGCCAAGGGAGCTGGCGTGGTCATGTGGCCAGCATGACTAAGTTGCCTCTGGTGAACCAGAGCAGTGCATGGAAACGCTGTTTACCTTCCCGCCGGAGTGGTACCTATTTATCTACTTGTACTTTGTGCTTTCACAACTGCTAGGTTGACAGGAGCAGGGACCGAGCAACGGAAGCTCACCCCATCGTGGGGATTTGAACCACCGAACTTCTGATCAGCAAGTCCTAGGGCTCTGTGGTTTAACCCACAGCGCCACCTGCGTCCCTAGGCTCGTTACCGATGTAAGCATAAATCAAACTACAATTCTCCCTTTTAGTATGTAGGCTTCAGAGCTTTAGTAAGAAGCAGCAGCAAAGCGAGGGGCCCTCAAAGAGCTGCCACGTCAAGGTGCAGACTGGACCCCTCAGAGAGTTGTATCCAATGAGTGTTCTGCCAGCTACCCTCTGCAAATGTCTGCAGCATTTTGATTGGATTTTATATGTGTTCTTTGCCTGTAAACCCTATAAAAGGTTCAGGGGGGTAACACACACACACACACACACACACACACACACACACACACACACTGTTCAGCCTTTGTGGAAGTGACAGTGCTGAACCTATTTACTGTAGTAAATAATTTTTGGACTCTTTCTTCAAACCAACTCACAAGTAGTTAATGGCACTAGTGAGACAGCAGATTTGCCCTACAACAGAGGTAGAATGTAGGTGTCGTATCTAGTAGCCATCAATAATCTTATTCTCCACGAATTTTGTCAACAAGGCCTAGAATTCCACCTTTCACTTGCCTTGGCTTCCCAGACTCCCTGCAAAAGTTAGTTCAGGAATAGACACCTGCCCTATCAGAGGCACCAGTTTGAGAAGGCAATTGAGGCAGGGCCAAGGCCATGTTTGTGATGTGAGGATCTGGGGACAGATCCCCAATGTGGTGGCCTTGTGGCTCATTTCTCCTCTGGGTGGGGCCACTGGCAGGAGGCTGCTTCAATCACTCCTCACTTCTGTAGTAGGAGGGGAAAGAGAAGGAGCTGGCTGCTGGAGGCATGCCGTGCTTGGCTCCAATGTTTGGCACACCGTGCTTTTGGGGCATAGCAGGGCCTCGGCCCTTACCCCCAAAATATAGGGGGACGCAAAAGGGCTCAGCCCCTAGGAGCCGGTGCCCCCTGTGCCCTAGATATTCTACTGGGAAGAAAGATGCAAATAATTCATTCACTTCTTTATGCTGCTTTTGCATACCATTGACTAACTTATTATCCAATGGATCATTCACCCACTCTAGCCAGTCTCTTCCAAATAATCTATTTAATAAAATGCACGCTTCAAATTCTTTTGAAGAATCCTTTATTGACTTATTGCATTTCTTTTGTCAAAAATTGTGTTCTTGTTCATTTTCATTTGGACAAGACTTTTATTTTCTACACTTGATCTTAGCCAAAAGGCCGAGAAGCGATATCCTGTTTTAATGAAAGACTGGGGAAAATTATAAAAAATAGATTTAAAATTCACAGCATATTATTTGATAAAGGAATTTTTTATGAAAATGATTTATAGGTGGTACTTTACTCCTAGTAAATTGGCTAAAATATATAAAAACAACAAGAACACATGTTGGACGTGTAAGCAGGGGGAAGGAATCCTATTTCATCTGTGGTGGACCTGTCCCCAAATTTAAAAATTCTGGGACACTGTCTATGAAGAATTAAAGAAAATGCTCAGACAAACATTCTCTAAGAGCTCAGAGACCTTTTTACTGGGCATTATGACAATAAACACCCCAAGAAAAGCAAAAGAGTATTTCTGTACGCAACAACTGCGGCTAGAGTATTAATTGCCAAATGCTGGAAAGGGGATTTGATACCAACTAAGGAAGAGTGGCAAATGAAATTGTGTGAATATGTTGCGCTAGCCAAAATGACAGAAGCAATAAGAAAATTCTATGTGTAAACATGGTTCCCAAATCAAAACTTGGATGTGTCCAGAGTAAATTTCACAAAATAAAAGACAATTAGAGAAGATATCCTATATAAATAGAAGGTCAAAAGTATACTATAACACAGTACAAAAGAAAATTAAATAAAGAGAGAAGCTGTTAAGAGGTAGGGGGAAGTCAATTATTATAAAGAGGATACGAACATGTATAGAATAAGTAGATTATGTAAATGTAAAGGAAAAAGTGGTGATAGCATGTTCATCGTACTAAATTACATTTGGGGTCCAATATCACTATTCCCAAAAATTCTGTGGCGGAGTCTGCCCCTTTTGGGACTTCTAGATTGTTGTGCTTTGTCCTCTTTCACACAGTGTGACAATATCTTTAGTAGGTCCTTCACTGTCCTTTCTATAGAGTTTGCATCTATCTATCATCTATCAATCTATCTGTCACACATCCTTTCTGGATAAAGAATTGTATTAAGGGTTTGGATTTCCACAAGAACATTTAGAATCATTTTTACCGGTGGAGAGCAATAGTTCTTTCACAATAAGGACTTCTTTTCATCGATCCTCTTCTGATACCATGTTCACACTATGCTATTTAGTTGGATGTCTTACTTACGTGGAATGTACTTCCTCGTCTGGAGTCGTATTAAATGGAATCTCCTCAAGGCTATGAATTAGAAATGAAGCAAATTCACCAATGACAATATTCTCTGGGATCCTGAACCCATTTCGAAGCTTTGGCTGCTGCCCCATTGCATTGTGCACATTCTTGTTGACAACCTGAGGCAGGTGCATCAGCAAAATGAGCAGCAGGAATGAGGTCCATCTGGCTACCAGAAAATCTTGCCCCCAGCTGGTCATATTCATTGTGACAGAAAAACAGAACATGAGTATTTGGTGGGCGGCAAGGGAGAAGAATGCTTCAAAGCCTCATCCGAGTTAATTTTCAAACATATTTGACAGAATGCTTCAAAGAGCTGTGTGTGAAAAGTTGTTTTTAGACTCGCCTTTATAGATGTGGAGTAGCATTCCACCAATATTTAAGGTGGATACATCTATTGCTCTCTTTCTGATTGTGTTGGGATCCCACTACAATTACATGAGGACTGTGATTATGATAATTATAGGGTAGGTAAGTACCTTTTCCAAGATTCTCACCTCTCAACAAAGTTAAGAAAAACATCTTTCGCTTCCTCATATTCATGTCTGCTAATGAAATGTTCAGTGCTGAAACTGAGGGCAGGCTAGGTTTTTAGTAGGGTAGGAATGCTCCTATAGCTAAGTAGAGTAATAAAACCCAGATTCTGTAAAAAGAAGCATAACATTTCTATAACTTTAAAAAATCTATTGGTCTAGTATTGTGAAACGTGGAATAAATCTTCTATGTGATTTGGTTTATGAAAGAAACAAGTTCTTATGCTACTTTCTCTTATTCATTGACAGGTTCAGTTAGCTGAATCCAACTGTTAATCAAGCTCAGAAAAGTTTGCAGATTATTAATATGGATGTCCTAGGATGTATAAGAAAGGCAAAGGTGTACTTCTTATGAATTAGAAACAGTAGTTCTCAAACAGCATGATCAAATTTGTCTTCCCCATCCCCACATACACTTTAGATGCTAAGAGTGGAAGCAGATGAGGCAACAAAGTAAAAGGGGGAAAGTGGAAATTTACCACTTCACAAAGTGCTTCAAAAACAAAAAAGTAGACACAGCCTGGTCTATAAGTTAACATTCTCAAAATAAAAATGACCATCACATGAAAATGAAGAAAACTGGAATTATCAGTCAGGTAGCATAATATTGTTTCCTCACAAGCTGATCCCTGGTGTTCAGCTCAGGCCTCAGAATAATAATATAGAATTTGGGGAGGAAGATGCAACCCAGCAACCCAGCGCTAGAAGTCAAGATAGAGAAGATCTCCACAGCCACCATAAGTTTTCCTTTGGTGCTCAGGTAGGTGGGGACAAAGGACAGCCAAACACTGCAGAAGACCAGCATGCTGAAGGTGATGAGCTTGGCTTCATTGAAAGTATCAGGCAGCTTCCTGGCCAAGAAAGCCACAGTGAAGCTGATGATGGCCAGAAGCCCCATATAGCCCAGGACAGTATAAAACATGGGGCCTGATCCTTCATTGCACTGCACAATGATTTGGGTAGTCTGTGAATGCATGTCAAACTCTGGGAAGGGAGGAGAGGTTGCCAACCACAGTGTACAGATGCCAAGTTGAATAAGAGTGCAAAGGATGATGACTGACACTGCCAGCCTCTTCCCCACCCATTTCCTCATCCTGTTTCCTGGCTTGGTGGCCATGAAGGCCAGAACCACAGTGATGGTTTTTGCCAGCACACAAGAAACTGCCAGGGAAAAGACAATCCCAAACACTTTTTGACGGAGAAGGCAGGTTATCTTCCCAGGCTTTCCAATGAATAGGAAGGAGCAGAGAAAGCAAAGCAATAGGGAAATGAGGAGGGTGCAGGTGATGTTCCAGTTGTTGGCCTTGACAATGGGAGTCTCCTGGTTTTGAATGAAGATCCACATCACCACTAGTGTGATCAGAGAAAGGAACAGAGCAAATGAAGCCAGAATTATTCCCAAGGATTCACCATAAACTAAATAGACAACATGCTTAGGAATGCAGTGGTCGTGGTTCTTGTTTGGATGCTGGTCCTCAGGGCACTTGTCGCAATGGTCTGCATCTGAAAGTTTTAAGGTTTAATAGTAAAAAGAAGTACATGTACTTTCTTAACTAAGATCTTACATTGGTTTATTCAATTCTTGATTCTTAAAAGAAAAAAGAAAAAAGAACCATAAAACATTTTAAAAATTCCAAATTTCGATCATTCTGACTTAACTTTTGACCTTACAACTCTTTGATTTCCCCCCAAAAACAGTTGCATGCCTTTATTGCAAATATTTTTCTGTTAAATTCAGGAGGTTTCACGAGAAGTTACCTCATGAAATAGTTAAATATAAATAGCTTAATGTGTGAACAGAAGCTGCAAAAAGAGTTACAAGTGAAGAGATACAAAAGCACATTATTATTATTTAATCATCATCATAAGTTCTTATATCTTAAATGGTCCATTTACAGAGTCTTAACATTATGTTTGCATATTAAGTGATGAACATGCACATGCAAACCAGCATTTTGAGCAAATTTGTTTTACCAACATCTGGACTTTCATCTGAATGCAGTTCTGAAATCTTTACTTACCCTCCAGGTGTGAAACCATTCCTTCTGAGCACTGAGCACAATCATAGCAACAAATCTGTTCTCCCTGCCTCACGATCTTGCTGTGTCCAGGACGGCAACTTTCAACACATCTGGATTGGGGTTGGATCTAAGAAACAAAGAATTTAGAGTGAAGACCACTAGTTGGGAACTTCAGGCCTGTGTGCTTAGTTTTCACAGGTAGATTTGATTTTTTGATTTTTCACAGTATCATTATCATTATATATTTACACCCTATCTTTCCCCTGATGAGACTTGAGATGGCTTACCTATAAAAAGAAGAACAGCTAAAAACATAGGAAAACCATTAAAATGCAAATAAACATTGATAGATGTAAAACTCCAAGTCCCATCCCAGGAAGATGACCATGAAGGATACCAAGGCTGGTGGTATGGAAAGCCACCGAGAGGTCCCACAAAACCAACAGGGACACACACACCCTGTCCGAATCCCAGGATAAGTCATCCACCAAGGTAGCCAAAACCATCTCTGTCACATAACCAGTCCTGAAACCAGATTGAAATGGATCTAGATAATCTGTCTCCACCAGAATCTGAGATGATACCACATGCTCCATAATGAGATATTTGAAACAGGTTGATATTCCCCAATACAGTGAAATTCAGGGAGAGCTTTCTCAGAAGAGGTCTTGCAACTGCTTCTGTTAAGGATGCGGGAACCCTGCCTTGTTGTAAGGAGGTACTGGCCACCCAGCCAGTCCCCCGCTAGCCTTTTTGATGAGCCAGGAAGGGCAAGAATGTGGTGGCTCTCACATTTCCAAGTTGAAAACTTGGACAACTTAACACTGGACAAGCAGAGGCCAGCTACATCCACTGAACCTGTGTCAACTAAAGTGTCCAAGTCAGAATGGATCTGAGTGAGTTTGTCAGCACAGCGCTGAGGAAATTGTTCACAGTGGGCCACCGAGTGGTCAAAATTCTCCACACATGGACCAGTGTGTTAAAGACCCCTGACAACTGGAAACATCCCTTACTGACACAGTGAAGACAGAGAGAGAGAAAAAAATACAGAAAATATATTTTGCTGCCTGTACTGCCACAAAATAGGTCACCTATAAACGTGAGCTGAATTGAATTTCTCCCTCATCTCTGTGCAGGGCATGCATTTAGTACCTGATAAATTTGGTGCCCAGTGAACGTTTGGTTCCACACAGAAGCTCCAAGGAGCTGATCCCTGCTGAAATGGGGGCTTGAAATCACTGATGATCAGCTGATGGGCTTTGATTTCAAGCCCAACTGATCTTGCTAAACTCTGGAGT